TTCTCCTCTGCAGCTCCTCCACCACTTCCAAACTTCTTCCTGTCAACGTGCCTACATTCCAGGTACCAAACCTCCAACCCCTTGGTCTACAAGTAGTCCTTCCATCTATAGTGCCTTGCACCGCCACACTATAGAGTGGGGTGCCAGTAGCCAGACCATCCACAGGGCCTTGCACCACAACCCCATCGACTGGGTCTCCGGAGATTCTTCGCACCCTCTTCTGCCGGATACTGAGGGCCATTGTTTTCTCCGTCATCATCATAAGCATTTATTATTTGGCTAGTTTTTACACAGGACGCCCTTCCTTACGCAACCACAGTTATAAGCGGTGGGCCTAGCCTTTGATGATCCAACATCACTCACAAGGCAGTGAGGGTCAGTTTAATGTCATAACCAGGACCAATCTCAAGAACAAAGTAAGTAGTAGTCGAAATAAATAAATAAATAAATAATCGAAATAATAATAAAATAATAATAATATTAATACTTATAACACTATTACTACTAATACAACAGAATTACAAATTAACACAAACGAAAAAAACGCTGAGAACAGAAAGGAGATTTAAGAGGCAGTAAGTAGCCAGCCACTGACCTTTCTTTTGCACGTGGCTGACCTCAGATAAGAACAACTTCTCGCCATACAACCAGTTTCTGAGTAGAGGTGAGAACGATGATGTTGGTGGCATGATAAGAAAGAAATTTATTATCATAATATGCTATAATTTATTTATTTATTTAAGAGAAAATTAAATGATGCAAAACTATAATAATAATAATAAGACTAATTAATAAAAATTTAATCATCCAAAATATTCTCAATTAAACGACAAATTATGCATCATCCTCTTCATCTACATACCCTCAACCTTCCGACAACCCTCCCACCGGAACCCACCTTCTAAGACGCGTGACAAGAACTCTCTCTCCCTCTTTGACCTTTAACCTCGGTTCATCAAAGCAGGGCTGGCAGTAGCAGGTACGGCAACCAAAAGTGACGGGCAGATAGGAGCCGGAGTACTTGCGATGCACGACAAACAGCACACTCCTCGTTCTCTTCTCACACTTCTGCTGGATTTGCTCCACCTGGTTCATCATAATGTTTATGGATAATCAGATTAATGTTCCATGTCTGCAGTTTATTTTCTGCTATTTATTTATTTATTTATCTATCTATCTGTCTATCTATTTATTTTCTGATATTTTAGTTTATTTATGTAGTTTTTATTTAGTGATTGTAGATTAATCATCATTTCCATTCTCTTCATCGTCCGCAGATTAGGTTCACTCCAAACAATGATGCAGCCACCAAACATGCAAATCCATCATCACCTCAGAAATAATTTTCGCCAATGGTGGTGTAGAACATGCAGATAAAGAACATGTAACGAGTATGAAATCATGTATATATATGATTTTATACCTACATCCACACAACAACCACCACCAACATGAACTTCATCAAGATATTGGCTACCTCTACCACCATCCCAACCAACCAAAAAAACCAACCAATCAGCCAACCAACCAACCAGCCAACCAACCAACCAACAAACCAACCAACCAACCAACCAACCAACCAATCAGCCAACCACCCAAACAACCTCCCAACCACCCAACCAACCAGCCAGCCAGCCAGCCAACCAACCAACCAACCAACCAGCCAGCCAGCCAGCCAGCCAACCAACCAACCAACCAACCAGCCAGCCAACCAACCAATCATCTTCATCGTCCAACGAAAACCAACCAACCGTCAAAGTGTATTGGTGGCAGTCCTCTCTGACAGGCCACCACACGCCGTCCATCTTACCCCAGTTGCCTATGTTCAGGGTCATCAGTAGGTTGTTCCACCGACCCAGGTTGTACGGGTATATGAAATCACCCTCTCCCTTCTCTCTCTTTCTGTAATTTGCCTGATGTGAGATGATAAAGTGAGATGATAATAATAATGATGATGATGTGTGATGATAATAATGATGATGATAAAGTGAGATGATGATAATAATGATGATAATAATGATGATGATAAAGTGAGATGATGGTGATGATGATGTGAGATGATGATAAGGTGCGATGATGATAACGTGAGATAGAAGTGATTAAAGATGAGTATAATGATGAATATTAAAGATGATGAAGACGCATCGTCACAAGCTTCACAAAAATTATATCACAAGAGTCATCGTCGTCATCATCATCATCACAGACATTATTATCATTATAAACAACATTCTCACCATGGACATCACCATTATTAATACTATCATCATCATTATCGTAATCGTCATCATCATCATCATAATTACAAACAAAATCATCATCATAAAAAACATCCGCATCATCATCATCATCATTACTGCAAACATCATCATCACTGCAGACATCATCATCATTATCACTGCAAGCATCCCCATCATCATCATCATCATCATCATCACTGAAAACATCCTCATCATCATCACCTTCTCTCGGATCCAGGTTTCAATTCCTGTTTCATTCTTAAGAATCACCTTCAGCTGTTTGGAGGAGCATAAAAAACACATCCATCCCACCTCATGCAAGTTGTAACATGGATTAAAAACTCGTTCGTCTACGTAGTAATTGAACTGTCCATCTCTCATTATGTTAATTACTTCGTTACACAACAAACCATCTAATCTCTCGGGTCAACATTTTTTATTTCAACTATTTTTTATCCTTTATAATGCAGCTCTATCAAACGCAGAGCTGATCACGTGTTATTCTATACGTTTACTTGAGCTTTCGTGCCACAAAGGCTGTACATTATCCATGCCACACACCACACGCACGCACGCACACCTCACGTACGCACGCACACACCACGTACGCACGCGCAAGCACTGCATCATACGAGTATGATGGTCGTTCATTTTCGGACAGACAGTATTCGAACCATGCCATCGCGTAATAGCAGCGCAATACATGGCACTTCTACCGACTGAGTTAACTCAGTGACCACTACCAATGTTATCTTTTCTGTGATCATAATTACGAGCCAATAACAAATGACCTATATTAAAAAAGTGTCACCGTGAGCCAATAAAAATTAACCTGTATAACGAAAAGACTGCCCACTGATATGACCACACCAACCGCCATGCCAACCGCCATCATGGAAAATATGAACCAGACGCTGGATAGGTCGACGATGATGTCATTCATCGTGCCATAAAAGTAGTAGTAGTTCTGTTGGAAAGTTGATTGAATGATTGATATGTTGGTTGATTGACTGACTGATTGAATGAATGATTGATCAGACAAACGCAATGATGGGAGAAATGATTGGATGATCATGAAAATAATTTTCATTCATGACGATAGTAATAATAAAAATTATAGAAGAAAACGAAAATAAACTGACATGTTAATGATGATGTTGACAGACAGAAAGAACAACACATAAGAAAACTAAAAACGGGGAACGATCCAATGAAAAGATATCCAATAAATAATTAAATAAAGGGACCCTGTAGAAGCATCTGTACGTAGAAGGCACGAGGATCGCGATGGCGTGCAGGCAGGCGATGGGCGTGATGAAGAGGAAGAAGAAGAAGTTGGCATGGTTCTTGTGGCCAACGCAGTTGTTGATCCACGGACAGTGGTGGTCCATCTTCATAACGCACCTGTGTGTTTGCGTGTGAGTGAAGTCTACCCGCACGTGTGTGTGTGTGTGTGTGTGTGTACGTATGTATACGTTGTGTGCGTGTGCACACGCGCGCGTGCCTCACATTAAGCCGACCAAATTTTTTGTAAACAAATACAATACCATACTATTTTAATAATGGGCATATTTAAAAAAAAACTGTTATAAATGAGGATGAAAAAATAGAAAACCTTTGACACTTTCTACAATGGTGAGATCTTGGTACCTTGTAACTCAAGCAGATGTTGCAATATTGCAGGAATATTTTCTCCTCTAGATGTTTCTGTGAAATATTTCAATAAGATTTGTAAATGTGTTGTTAATTTTAAAAGTTTAGAAGTTTAAAAATCATTTATTATAAAATTTAAGATACATTCAATAGTAAATACTGCAATTATAGCAATTAATTGTTAAAAATATGTAACTTTAACTTTAAAAAACTTACTGGTTTCCATCCAATTTCAACTAATCCCGGGCCAAGGAAAGATGATTGGAAAAAATTATACAGAATAATGTTCAACTCAATCATAATTACTACCATGCTGGCACATGGCCAGAATGATTCAGGTGGCCACCACGCCAAATGGCATTTCACCATACATGTCACTATGAATGAGATTAGGGACAATGCAATAAGTGGACCCCAACTGATCAGTCGCCTGAAACCTTTCTGAAGAAAGAAGAAACAATAAGATAATTAAAAATAAATTAATACTAATTAATTAGTTGAGTCATAATTGAACAACATAAAAACCAAGAAAAATAATATTGTAATAAAAAATTTTTTGGGCCTTATTTCAATGTTATTAAATTTCAAATTCATAGAATTTTAAAAATCTTTAAGAATTTTATTAAATTATGTTTAAAAGTTAAGTTTCATTTTAATAATAAATTTAAAATTCAGCAAAATTTTAAATTACCATCAGATCAGATTTATATGTAATTAACATTAATAAATTAACTTAATAATTTCACCATTACTGCAAACAATTATTAATTTAATATTGATTGAATTAAAAAAATTAAAAAATTGTAAAAAAAATTAAATACTTGAGGAGCCTGACTTACCTTTTGTAGGTGAATGATGAAGGAAAGGATAAGGGCATAAAATGGAAGTTCCATCATTGCCAGCAGACTCGAAGAATGAACATTCAAACGGGCAGTGGACCCCTTAATACTCGAGTGACGCAACTGATAATTATTTTTTTTAACTAATCAACTCACCCATAGTCCAATCCATGTCTTATTCTAGGACACACTTAGTTATTTAACTTAATTTGAAGAACCGTTTAAAAACAGATTTAAGTTGAAACAAAAACATTTAAATCACCTCAAGTTTATTGAACATTACATAGGAATTGAAATTAAACACTTGACCAAAATTTGACCTGGAAGCATACTCAAGTTTCTGTTATGGTGTCTCTGCCTCATATAAATTGCAATTATTTATTAATATAATAATAATAAATTTCAAAATTGATATTTGATCAATTATAAAGAATGCGTAGCGTCATGGCTGCTCTTGCATTCTGTGAAGTTTACGATGAGAAAAATACAATAGAGAGCAATGACTGTATAAAGTATCGTGGCTCCAAATTTACAAAATCTTTATTCTACTCGTGGTAGCAACCATATAATTTTAATAAAAGTACTTGCATTTTTATATATAAAGCGGTTATGGATATTTATATGTCGGTAAAATGTTGAAGATGCATTGCTTGTTTGTGTCGTTTTTTAAAAATTTATTCATGGGTCTATTAATTTGTTTGTTCGTCTTAATAAGTAACATGGTCCTTTCTCAATCAAACTAAACCGTTGGAAGCATATTAAATTGGCGGAGACTGCAGAACTTGAACGGTGCGCAATGCATTGGAGCGAGATGTTGACGTCTAGAGAGCGTCGGGCGTACACTGGTGTGCGTTCGTAAGTGAAATGATGATGCAGTGGAGAGTAACCGTTAGTGAATGCGCAAAAACGAACATGGAAATGAGTGGAGTGCAATCAAGTTGTGCACAACCAACAGACCACCGAACATATGGAGAGAAACTAAACATTTTGCAAAAAAAGAGATTAAAAAGGAAGACAGTGAAAGGAGAGAGAGAGTGATCATCGGCTCGGCATATATACATCGTTAGTAGTATTATCTCTAGTCTTTTTTGCAGTTGCCTTCTTTGTCGTTGTGAGTATTACCACCGAAACTACATCAACGACAACAAAACAATCGTCGGTAAAAAATCGTTAAAGTGGAGCAATGTAAATAAACATGACGCCAGTTCGATTGATCGTTTGATATTGCAAGGAGGAATAAACAAACAAGTGAATAAGCTAGAGCACACTCGCTTGAGCAAACCCATTACAATATAACATGCATGATCCAGGCCTCCTGCGGCACATCGTAATACACCTTCATGCCGTTCGTAACGTAGCAGACGATCATACACGATGTAATAGTTGTTTTGATACAATACACGATGATGTGGTACGATATGATACACAAATGCCGTACTAATGGATGCACACGCTGTTAGCACGTAAGAGATACAAAAAATTAAACATTGAAATTAAACCGTTTAAAAAATGCGGCATGAGGGCTTATGAAAACGAGTTCGATTTGCATACATTACGGATACATGCAGGCGTAGGTATATAGGCTTACACACGCGTAACGTATGGCGCGACACAGGTCTGCATGTATATAAGGTGTTTAGTGGAGAGCCCGTTGGAATAATTCGTAATTGGATACGCAGGCAGAGCATCACACCTTGAGTTCCAGCATATCAGTCTTTTATTATCACGTGATGCGGTTAGTTTTACTTTTATACAATTTTTTGCTACCGTGGTTGTTATTAATTATTGTTATTATTATTAATTTTGTTGTTGTTGTTGTGTTGCTTTGACAATATAACTAATACTAAAAATTAAACAATTACATTTTTGTTATTTAATGACCATCAATATCTTCGTACAAGAAATCACCTGTTTTGGTTGTTGGCAGATGAACCAATACAATACAATACAATACAATTTTTTATTCACTCCAAAAAAAAAAATGAAGCCAGGATGACTGTGATAAAGCTCATAGAGAGCTCATCTAGCACAGCCACCTGAACCCAAATGTACACAAATAACCAGTAATTAAAGTTAAATAAAACGTCATCTCTTTTTTTACAAATTTTCTCTGTCATTTCATTAAAATTTAACAAAAACAATTTTTAATTCTTTTTGAACATAGTAAGTGATGTTCCGTTGAAAGAAAAATCATTTTGTAAAATGTCATTCCAAATCCTTGGCCCTCTACAGACAACATGAGAATGCAACAGATTTGTTCGCGACTTGTTGCTCATCAGATAATTGACACGTCTAGGGTTGTTGACTGCTTTGAAATATTCGTCAAACGTTGGAGGAAGCTTTATGGACAGTTGCTTGAAAACAAAAATGGCTGTGTAATATTTACTGATCCTATCCAAATTTAAATTATTAGTGGAGAAGAATAATTGATTTGTATGGGTGAATTGTTTAGACAGAGTTATCTGCTCTCTTCATCAGAATTTTAATTGAATTTGTTGTTGAAGGATACGCGCCAGCCCACACAACGTTACAATAATTTATATGAGGTGTGCAGATAGCATTATAAAGCAGATTCAAACATTTTTTTGGAAGGTAGAATTTTATTTTATTAATTACGCCTATTGATTGAGCTAATTTGTTGGAAATATGCTGAATATGCGCTTTGAAAGTCAATTTCTGATCCAAATACACTCCAAGGAATTTTATTGTTTTACTTTCTAAAATTTCATTTTCATTTATCACGATTTTGTAAGGCTCCTTATAATTTAAACACTGAACAGGTCCAAATATTATCATCTGCGATTTAGTTTTATTTATTGTTAGCCTGTTATCCGAGAACCAAGACATAACATGTGCTAATTCCGTGTTTGTTTTTTGAATGACTTCCTCAATTAATTTACCATTGCTAAAAATATTGGTGTCATCAGCAAAACATATGTAGTCGAAATAGCTGTTGGCGTAAGGAAGGTCATTAATAAATATGACAAACAGCAGCGGCCCTAAAACACTGCCCTGTGGAACCCATAATTATTAGCTTGTTGGTTTGAATTATTATTATTCCGGATACATATTGTTTTCTGTCTGCCAGGTAACTTTGGAACCATTCTAGTGTTTTTCCTCTTACACCATAGTGTTCTAACTTTCTGAGCATAATGTTGTGGTCAATGCAATCGAACGCCTTTGATAAATCCAAACATATTCCGACTGTAAAATTTTTTTCCTCAGCAGCTGAGCTAATTTTTCGTATTAACTCTACTATAGCCAACTCTGTAGAGTGTCCTTCTCGAAAGCCATACTGATGATTCGACAGAATATTATTTTTTCGTAGGAAGGCTGTCAATCTTGAGTGCATCAGTTTTTCAACTATCTTTGAGAACGCCGGTAATAGAGACACTGGTCGAAAGTTGGTTACATCATAGTTATTTTTTACCTTTTGAATAGGTATTGTTTTTGATAGTTTTAAGCACTTGGGAAATTTCCCGGCGGCAAATGACAGGTTGATTAGATACTCAAGAACCATCACTGTGGAATGAATTGTTGAAATTACGACTTTTGCGGGTATATTGTCCCAACTACTTGAAGACTTTGGAGTTAACGACTGAGTTGTTGAAATGATCTCGTTTTTGGAGGCATATAAACAAAAAAATGAGTTTGAAATTTTGTTGCGTAGATATGACTTCCAGTTATTGTTGTGTTGAAATGATTTGGACAGGTTGATTGCTGTGTCGATGAAGTTTTGGTTGAGTTGATTTTCAGGATTTTCAACTATTTCATCATTCATTGTTATTTTAATATTTTTTAATCTATTTACACGTTTATTTATTACTTCATTTATGATGCACCATGTTTTTTTAATATCAGTTTTATGACGCTCAACTAATTCGTTGTAGTACTGTCTTTTTGATTTATTTTTCATGGTATTACATAACTTGCACACTTCTCTAAATTTTTCATATCTGAATTGAGATGGATTCTTTAAATAGACTTTGAACAACTTATTTTTATTTTTTATTAGCTTTTTAATATCTTTTGTAATCCATGGTTTTTGTTTTGATAACATTCTTTTCTTTTTTTCTGAAGATATTAAGCAGGAATTAAAAAGACATGACTGAAAAGATCCTGTAAACTTTTCAAATGCTGCATCAACATCATTGCAATCAAGCACTTCATTCCAGTCATAGTTTAGCAAACAGCAATTCAAGTTTTTTGAATATGAGAATTTCATTTCAGGCTGAGAACAACTGATGTTTCTTTTCATCTTGATGTTAAATGAGGCTAATATTGGTAGGTGATCTGATAAATCGCATGTCAAACTTCCACTTAGCTTCACAAATTGAGAAAAATTTACGAAGATATTATCAATGACCGACCTTTTATTGATGCAACTTCTGGTTGGTGTAGTGATTAATGGTGCAAGATTGTAACAAGTCATAAGATGGATCAAGTTTGTTTTGTTCACATCTCTATTTAAATTTGAGATATCAATGTTGAAATCTCCCATTAAACAAATATATTTATTTTCATTATTTACTGCATGAAGGATTTTTTCCAACTGGTTCAAGTAGATTTTTGGGTCTTGTGAAGGAGGGCGATAAGATACTATTATCACCATATTTTTATTTTTGTTGCGTGAATTTTTATTACAGACTTCAATTGAAAATGTTTCAAAGTCCACATTACCCAGGTTATTCAAGTCGTCTTTAACTTTATACACACAGTTGCAATCTACGTAAAATCCCACTCCACCACCGTGTCGACCTGTACGATTTCTACCAACGTAGTCATATCCACAGATATTGATGAGATTCTTGCTAACTTCATTCAGCCAGCTTTCAGTTATCCCAACTAAATTAAATTTAAAAGAAAAACTGTTCAATAAATCAGTTAGATCTTCTGTTTTGTTAACTAAACTTCTGATATTTGCATGCATTATGTTAAATATTAAACATTTATCAACTTCACCTTTGTACGTAAAGTTATAATCATCGTTTACTGATTTATTATCATCATAACATTTGTTGTTGATTACTTTACTCTTGCATATATTTTTAATGTCATCCGAAATGTCTTCCTCATCGCTGTTCTCAACACTTTTTTCATTACCTGATAATTTATCCATCATTAATTTTTTGTTGTACCGTCTGTTCAGTTTTTTTGTCAAATCGCCACTCTCGTACGATGACGCGCTGAGGCATTATTTCGGGGTCTTTTATCTTTTTTACATCTTCTCTGTCGATGCAAACTCTAAAAACGGTTGATTCTTCTTCATTTCTGTTTTTGAGTTCATTCTGTTCATCACTGCTGTTGTTGCTGTTGGTTTTTGCTGAGATTTTTTCCTCAGTTTTCTTTATAACTGGATAGCATGTGATCACGTTAATCCCATTTGCGCTTAGATATTCCATAACATCACTTCTGCGACATCGTTGTACATTACTGATGCAAAAAACGGATTTTTTTGTGAGATCTTTATCAGCTTTCAGCTTGCAATTTTCGAGTACTTTTTTTCCAATAATTTTTGTAGCTGTCCTTTTTGTCGCCTGACTGACTTTGATGTTTGCTTGGCTGAGGGTGACGTCGTCAACAGTGTTTTTTACTTCTAAATTACTGTTCATTGACCGTTGTTTTTTGCCGTGTTTTACCAGGGTGAATGGCTGCTCCGTGCTCTCAGTAGGACTCTTGGTTACTTCGGACCAGCAAGTTTGACTTGTTTGCACGTTGTTTGTTTTTTCTTGTCGTTTTTTAACTTCAATGTTTACATTATTTTCAGCATTTAAACATAACTTGTGTTTTAAAGAACTTATTTCAAGTTTGTTTTTCTCGACAGCTTCAATAGTTCTATTCAACATGACTTGATGTGTACGCAACGACTCCATTATTTCTTGTTTAACTTTTTCAAAATTAATTGTCAAAAAATTTTCAACTTTGGGAATTTTATTCAGACCTGGTAGAACACATGAACACATTTCTAGAATTTAAACGGAAGACAAAGAAATAAAAAAAAGATTGGAGCAATTCGTTCAACGATATTTGTTTGTACATTGTACATTAGTGATCACTAAGCTGGCTTAGAATAATGAAGTTGGCAGAAGTGACGTATAGAAGAAAATAGTTTAAAATATCAAACAAGTTGAAGCAGACACGGATAAAAACTGAAAAACAACGTAATAAATAATTTCACAAATTTTTATGACGAGCGGCAATCAAGAGAAGAAGGTGCACAATGTCAACAACTTCATCAGACGAATTTTTTCTACAAAAGCCTGTGGAAGCACTCGCTCCTTGGATTCGATTGCAGCACGTCGACAGGCTGGTGCAACGGATGAGTCGTCATCATCGTCACTACCACAAGCGACATCACCGCTACCTTCATCATTGTCGAAGCCATCAATTTCGTCTTTGGTGAGATCGGCATCTGTGAAGGGGAGAAAGAGATGCAGTTTCTCGTTCAGAATACCCCGACATTTCAGTATTTCCTTCTCTCATCATCTCCTCAATCGCGATCAATCGCACGAGCAGCTACTCCACCAGCAACTACTACTACTTCCACCGTCAAATCAGCCATCGACATCAACGCGACAGAAACAACTACATCACAATGATCCTTCCAATTCGTCTGACATCGGCATGTCGATTTCATTATCACGCAATCATTCAATCGGAAATTCTATTCTACCAGGTCTGAAAAATAAGCAGAAAAATGACAAAAATATCAGCAATTCGGTCGGTAACTCACCAATAAAAATAAAAATTGCAGAACGTGATGAAGTTATCACCAGAAAAAACTCAGCTGATCATTTACCGTTAAATATAAAATGGGGTAAAAAACTCAAAAACAGTCAAAATTATACTGAGTTTAATCAAAAGTTGTCAAATTTTAGTAAAAGTTATGAAGCAAGAAGCAAAGAATCAGCAAATCAGTTGGAAAGAATTTTGAAGTCTCGTTCTAGCAGTGTAGCATTTATAAGAACTTCCGGTAAGCCCCCGCACAATCCAATGGGACTGACCACGGCCGCCATCGTGACATCCACGTACAAACGTCACAACAATCCACCCGATGCAAACGATAAACAGCAAAGTCGTTCAGGTGTTCTCAATCAGAGTGACGTCATCCAGGTAGTTACCATGGTCAAGGAAGTTAAGTTGGTGTCAAACAAGCACATTGCACTCGTTCTACCCGGATTATACATCGGTAAGTTTGTCAGAGGTTTTAATTCATTAGAATTAAATGCATTTGAAGAATATTAAGATTTTTTTACCAAAAATTTAACGAGAACAATCATGTTAATTACAAACATTCAAACTTTAAACTGTGCAAACGAACAAACATTTAAACAGACGTGAGAAAAAAAATCAAAAAATACAAAAACAAATTAACAACCCAAATGAACATATAAACGCAAGGAGCAAGCATGAATGAACAAATGAGCAAACATGAATGAACAAACAAACGAGCAAACATGAATAAACCAATAAACGAACATGAACGAACGAACGAACGAACTAACAGGTGAAAATACCAGCAATTGTTCACACGTAGGCTCATTAAGACGATAAAAATTGCAGACGTGATTTATTGCATACCTGAGTGCCTCCCTGGCAGAACTCCTGCGCCGCATAAAACATTCAAAAATTACTCGCGTGTCTTTTAATAGGCTTCAAGATATAAAATAAACGCTAAAGTGAGAAAGCGAGAGAGCAGAGAGGAGCAGAGAAAGGGAGAGAGAAAAAAAGAGAGAGAAAAAGATAGAATGAGCAGAGAGGAGCAGAGAAAGGGATAGAGAAAAAAAGAGAGAGAAAAAGATAGAATGGGAAGCGTTAGCCATATAAGGGAAAAGAGAAAAACAAAGAGACAGCAAAAGTACAATGGACTAGTGACACTGATGCTGTCTTATAGTTGTAGAGCAGACATCTAAAGTCGCTTTCAGCAATGTACGAACTTGAGAAACACATCCAATAACTTTTGAATATTAAACTATCAATCGTTTGCTTTGAATGAAAAATTATTGTACATCAATCACATTCTTCGCTGTTAATTCGATCCGTTTGCATATTCATCGAGGAAGGTTTTGTTTTTATTCTATTGTTACTAATTTGATAACTTTTTCCAACATACGCTGCCATCAAGATTAAATTTATGTTGCGCTGTCTTCATAATACTATTTAAAGATTTTTTTACATTTTGCGGTTCTCTTCTGATTTTCTTTGAAATTTAAAGTAGCAGAATAGCTGAAAAAATAAATAATATATATATATATATATATATATATATATATATTATAATATTTTTTTATTGACCACCATGAATAAAAGCGTGAATAAATTTGCATAATAATTTGATAAGAAATGAAAATAAAGTTTTTATTCGAAGCATGCAAAAGAAGGCATATTTCTACTTAAACAGCAAAGAATATCAACGAATGTTCTCTGCAACAACAGCACATTCACGCTAACAGCAGGGCAGGAGAATTCTGCAATTGCGTGGTGTCGTGTTGAAGCAAGTTCCGGGGAAGTTATGGATGAAAATCACCTTTTGGATTAAATTTTAACGAAACAGTCAAAAATATTGGCTCAGTCAAAAATAAGTTTGAAGCTATTTTAACAGGCTTGGCAGTCAATTTCGCAGGCATATTTTTCAATAAAAATCGAACAAACACGCACACACATGCAATACGTACATGCTTTTACGTATACTCCACGCACAAACAAGCACACACACTCTTGCACGCACATATTTCAGAGCACGCACACACACACACATCAGCAAATGTATTGGAATGAAGATACATCCGTAAAGATATTTGTGACAAATCAATCGTCATACTGCCTGTCGTTGTGCCTGGCACTGGTAGTATTGCATGGAATCACAACGCACTCCACATTAGTACGTTGGCATGCAGGCCGGCAGTTAGGAACCTCAGATGGTACCTTATGAATTTTTTAAAACATCTTCTCAATGTAGTGCACCTTGGAGATTTTTTTTCTATAAAATTATATATGATCGTGCGGCTGCAATGATTTTACGTACTTCAAAACGCGGAATGGACGGATGATATGATGATCTGAAATTTTTTCAAAATTAAATTAAATTATTTCTTAGTTGAATTTATGCATTCATTTACGTTGAACAGATGAACGTCCGCTTGTTACGCGCACATGCCTGTTTTCTTTTTACAAAAAAAATTTAATTTAATTAAAATTTTCAAATAATGGTTTTCAACTAAACTTTTTCACCACTTTAGAAATTAAAATTAACAATTTTTTTCTCTTTTGGCTTCTCCAATTTCCGACTCCAGTTTTTTCTGTCTTTCTTGCTCGATCATCTCTTTCTTTCCTCTCCCTCTCTCTCTCTCTTTTTCTCTTATTTTTTTATTTTAAAAATCTTGTCTCCTCTTTTTAATTTTACATATACATATATAATCATAAAAAGATGCGTTGTTAAGCGCTTAAATGCAAAGTAGCCTTTTATTCTCCATAACTTTAAATCCAATTTAAATTTTTTGAAATAACTTGAAATAAAAAATTAAGAAACGTTCATACACACCAACCCACGCAACACTAATCCCTAATCTCTAACCGGCCAGGCTCGAAGGAGGCGGCTGAGAGTCACTCAACCCTGAAATCCTTCAACATCACTCACGTGCTTAACGTCACTGAGGAGATCGACATCCGGTACGATAAAAAATTGCGAATAAAATCGCTAAAAATACCTATTAAGGATTCGAATTTTTATGACATCGCCAGTCAATTCGAAGGAGCCTTCAGTTTCATTGACAATGCTCTTCTGGGAGATTCAAAGGTAGCAGAACGAAGCAGAAGGTTTTCGAGTGCGTCTGAAATTTTAAAAATTGGCGGAAAAAATGTTGGAGGTAATGGTAATGATTGTGGTAAATCAAAAATAACTTATAGCAAAAATTTCAATGTGGATGAACAAGAGGAAGAAAATGTAGAAAGCGGAGAAATGATGGCGATGGTAAAAAGTTGTAAAGAGAGTTTTAAAAAAATATTCACCTCATATCGTCAGCAACAACAACAAATGCGTCCACAATCACAAAATCAACAACCCCAATACCAACAACAAACTCAAGATGAAGGAAAACATAACCAACAACAACATAATCAACAACAACAAAACCAACAACAACAAAACCAACAACAACAAAACCAGCAACAGCCAAACCAACAACAGCAAGCCCAACAACAAAATCAACAACACGCGTCTACAGTGCATGCGCCATCAATAAATCTCGTTAGGAAAAATTCGCTCAGTAAAACAAACACTGCTGAATCGAAGTCATCATCAACACTATCATCATCATCATCTATAGTGATGTCATCATCTACAGTGACGTCATCATTCATCATAATAACATCATCATCCATTTCATCGTCATCAGCATCACCAACAGTGATAGCATCATCGTATTTATTACCACCATCTGTAATGTCATCATCATTAACAGAATCTTCCTCATCATTCACGTTATCACCGTCACTACCACCGTCATCATCGTTATCATCACTACCTCTACCATCATCATCATCCTCATCGTCCTCATCTTCATCAATCACATCATCTCTTTTGTCATCTTTAACTGATTCAACAACTTCTGTAGAAAGATCGAAAAAAACAACTGCCGTGATATCAGTTGCATCAACAAAAGCGTCCACATCAGAAATTGCTCAGAAAAATTTAATACCGCAAAAACAACATCAACAACAACATCAACAACAACATCAACAACAACAACTAAAGCAACAACAACTTCAACCAAAGCAACCACAACAACTTCAACCAAAGCAACAACCACAACAACCACTTCAACCAAAGCAAAAACAACCACAACAATTTCAACCAAAGCAACATCAGCAGCAACAACTTCAACATAAACATCATGATCATCAGCAGCAGCAGTTACAGCCTCAACAACGACGACGACATCAGAATGCAGTCCTGGTACATTGTTACTACGGCGTCTCGCGATCATCAACCATCGTCATAGCTTATTTGATGTACAGGGAAGGTCTTTCATTAGACGATGCTTACAGGTAAGAAATGAATAATGCACATTTCTTGTTACATAAGACAAAACATCACTACATTTTTTGCGTTAATGTAAAATATCCACCAAATATTGCTAAGATATTTTTAATATAACATGACGCAAACAACTGAGATGTATGTATATATCTTTTTTAATCAATGGAGATTTTTTGAAACGTATTCAATCAAACTGCAGGTCTAAATTGATGGAAAGCATGCTGTAAAGCTTATTTGCTGACGATTGTGCCGCTATAAGCCAATAACTTTATTCTGTATCTTGCGGGCTTAGCCACCTGTTTCTACAAACGAGTGTCTAGTCTCTGATGCTTTTGCTAAAACTTTTGCTAAAATCGAAGTCGCCAATAATGTTTCAAATTTATTGTCAGTTCTCACTTCTTTCTCATCAACTTATTCCTGAGCCCATTATTTTTGCATCCCCAACAAACGTGAAAGACTTACTGCTGGATGATCTCAATCACTTTAATTATTTGAGAAGCATCATCTCTGCTGATAACTAAGTTGTGGCTAATGTAAGCAAGGCAAGTCAGTTTGTTAGCCATCTTCACAGTTTTATGATGGTTAGTGAATTTAAAAGAAAATAGCAAAACGGTTCTCTCTAGCCAGAATTTGTTGTTGAAGGCGTTTGAAACAACATGAAAATTTCACGTTAGGACCATACGTTCTATATTTCTAACTTGGGCTCAATGAATTACCGAAAGTGTAAACTTGGCGCAGGCTATGGTCCGCCAGCACAGTAGTTATGTAATAGGTGTAGCTCCTATTTTTCAATAAATTTGTTTTACAAGGTTTTACCAGCGAGTCTCTGAAACGCATTTTGTCAAAAAAAAGGCTAGCATTTTAGTCGCAAAGTATTAGCTTCAACAGCAAGTCGCCTCGTCTTGCCACAGCTTCATTCATTCACACATTTTTTTTAGATTGCATCAGTCATATTTTTTTTGTAAAATTCATTTTTAAATTCATTTTTCGAGAAAACTTGCATCACTATTTGCCATTTTCGTAACAAGCCCAACTGGCCAATAATATTAATATTATTACTATTTATTTTATTAGTTTCACACAAAAATATTTTTTTATGTTCATCGATTCCAGACGACCTGCCATAGAATTTTAATTTTATCCTGGCTTCTGGATAAAATCAATCTCGATCAAGAAATATTTTTCCTGATTTGGATTGCTTGATGAGATAAATCAAAAATAAAAACTGAGTTAATAGTTTTTATAGTTGTCGTGCTACCGACTATTCAACTAATACAAACAAGAAGGATTTTTAGCAGTAGTATTAGTAATAGTTGCGTTAGTTGTAGTATTAAGCTTAGTAGTAAGAGTAGCAATAGTAGTAGTAACAGTGGTAGTGGTAGTAGTTTTAGTAGTGGTAGTAGCAGCAGCAGTAGTAGTAGTAGTATCTCAAGTGTGTCCGTTCACGACGGTAGTTTCATTTCGTCAGCCAATCCAATTTCATCATCATGATCCTCCTCCTCCTCCTCATCATCATCATTCCCTCATCATCATCGTAATCGTCATCTTCATTATCGACATCACCATCACCATCATCATCATTTTTATTTTCATCGTACATCTTTATTTTCATCATTATTATCATGGTCATGGTCGTAAAATTTTTATCTGATTGTCATTGTTTTTACTCACCATAATCATCTTTCTTCTTTGTTTTTAAAATCATCACCATCAACAACGCTAATGTAATTGTGGCCAACTACTATTCAACATTAATGATGTAACGGACACATACATAAACCCCCTTTTTAAAGAGCCACCATTTCTGCGGCTTCTATTACTACTACTACTACTACTACTTCTACTACTATAACTACAACTATTATTAGTATTATTATTGTTATTACTATTACTACTGCTACTACTACTACTACTTCTACTACTACTATAACTACAACAACAACAACTACTACTATTACTGTTACTACTACTACTACTACTACTACTACTACTACTACTACTGCTACTGCTGCTACTGCTGCTACTACTTCTACTACAACAACAACTATTACTGCACCTACTACTACTACACCTAATACTACTACCAATGTGGCTACTATTGCCGCTACTACTGCTACTACTACCGTTAGTGCTGTTACTATGTTTTTTAACGTTAGTAGTAACATTACTATTGTTTATTGATAACCTTTCTGAATAATATCAATACAACACCACTGCACTCGTCAAGTGTATTGACGAAAACGCACTGAAAATGCCTCGCTACATGTATTATTCATGTAATTACTGGACAACATTATTCTGTAATAATATTTTTCTTTATTTATTTTTTATAATCTTCTTTTTATTCTTTATGATCTTCTAATAATCTTCTTAATATTCTTGCTAAAGGCGAGCTCCAAAAGTTTTTATTGGGTAGTCGGTTGGAAAATATTTGACGCCTTATGTCTTGTTTTTCTTTGTTGGGAAGAATGTGATTTATGATTTTTGTGAATAGTGAACAAAACTGGCCTGGATTTTTTATATCCAGATTATTTTTATTTAATTTATAATCAGTCTATGCCATCTTTATACTTGTCCTGACTGAGATAACGTAGTTCTTCAAAATAGATAAAACACCATATAATATTAACAATCCTTCCTAATGACTGCTGCTGTGCTTCGTGCAAATAATTACATAACAACTGTTAATTACTCACTTAACTATTACTTAATAATCGTGTGGTTAATTTTATTCTCTCTACCGGGAATCTTGCAGCTGACTGCAGCTGGTGAGCTGTCGCTGCCACAGCCGCTACTTCTGCTGCTACATTTTGAAACGTCTTGCCTAAATATCGTCGTCAAAAATTACAGATTACTACTATGCTTTTATATTTCATTGTTCTTGCTAAAAATTGGTTGTAAAATTTAAATATAGTTATGGCTATTATACTACAACTGTTCGACTGCTACTGTTACTGTTAAAATAAGCACTTTAAAATTGTTATCAACAATTAATTAGTTAAAAATTAAAAATTATTAATAATTGCTTGAAAATTACTTCAGATATCTACGACACGTCAGGCCAAAAATCCGTCCAAATGATGGCTTCATGAAGCAGCTACAAAGCTACGACAAACAGCTGTTCGAAGCTGTTCAGCTACTGACTCAATCACAGTGACGTCAAATTATGATGATGGCGGTGATAATGACAATGATGATGCGGTGTAATGATGATGTTGATCTAGTATAAAACTTGTCTTAAAGGTAACGAATGAGTAAAAAGAGATGAAGACGAAGATAGTTATAATTATAAGAAATAATAATATAATTGACGCCGACGATGGTGATGATGGGAGTGGAAACCAGGATGGAAGTAACTCGGCGACTGCAAAATAAACAACTCACGCGATGATTACATGCTTCGTGTATATTTTTATTACTATGTCATATTATCACAATTGTCGCCATGTTGAGTGAGAAGATGATTGATACAGTGTTCACAAAATAGGGGAAAATAGCTAATAATAATAATAGTAATAATAATAATAATAATAACAACAACAACAATAATAATAATAATAGAAATAATTTTATTATCATTATAACTACTGAAAATTATATAAACTATTTTAATTGTTATACAGAATAATACTCCTCGTTATAATCAGAGATTTGTCGTAGCAATCATATTAGAGTGTAAATATTAACGTGCTTATAATATAGAGGTGTTGTAATTGTAACAAAACACTCTCATAAAACACGCACACGCATACATACACGTACACACACACACACACACACAAACAAAACACACAAACAATACAACACATATATACATACACATGCACATTTGCGCGTGCATGCCTACATATACACATACTTAAAATATTACATATTATTGATGTATTAAAAACTACCTTACACTAAATTACATCGATGTTGTTTCTTGATGTCGTTGTCTCGATGTTTTATAGAAGAGATGCACCGAATGATGAATTTCGCTAAAGACCGAATAGCCGAATAGAGGATTCACCATCTGGTCGAAGTCGAAGTCCGGATTCTAAAAAACCCAACTTTGATTTTTTTTAATATTTTAGAATGAAAAACATTATTAAAAAAGACAGTGGGCAATTCATGTCTTTATCGTGATGAGAGTCATGATATTAGAGACAAAATGACCATATGTACCCAAAATTTTGTTCCAAAAAAAGAACACTATTTTATAAATTTAAAATGGATGGTGAGCTCAAAAAGAGTTGTTCAAACCTAAGCATTTACTCTGGAGGTCTATATATTGATACGGTGAGGACAAGATAGAAATGTATCGTGCAATCAGAGGAAAAATAAAAAAATTAACAAACGAGTTGAAACAAAAATTTCAGGGTAGAATTGCAGGAAATATAACAATAACCAAAGGCTGTTCTAGAACTTTGTGAAAAAAGTTTCTAGACATGTTGAGTCGGTAGGTCCACTATTTATAGGAGAGAAAATAATTACTATTACTATGTTTAAGATAAAGTTGAAACATTTGCTAACTTTTTTCTTCAGTTTATGATGATGACACACATTTTGATCATGATGATTTTACAAGATATAGGAGTTATGCTACGGAGGATTTGTTAATAAATAAAGAAATGGAATCAGTAAAATTGAAAGAATTTAACGCTAGCAAATCTGCATTCTAGAGTTTTGTGGTAAATGCGAAGTTTGATTAGCAAGTTATTTCAACGATCGTTAGATAAAAGTGTTGTTTTTGATGATTGGAGGCTAAGTCACGTGGTACCGTTGTATAAGGAAAAAAAGACCTGGCCCAGAACTATCGTCCAGTGGCACTACTCAAATCAATTAGTTGTAAAATCATGGAATCACTGATAACGGACTATATCATGAAATATTTAATCGAGAAAGGTCTTTTTTCAAAAAGTCAATTTGGTTTCATCCCTTGACGTTCTGCGGTTTTGCAACTTTTATAATTTTTGGAAGATATGACTGAGGGAGTGAACCAGAGTCACTAGGTCAATGGATCTTGAAAAGGCGTGTTCAAACTTCAAGGGTAGGGTGTGAATGGAAAGATAGTAACATGGATAGAGAAATATCTCAGCAGAAGAACTTTCCAAGTCAAACTAGATGATGCCTTATCAGAGCCAAAACCGGTTTTGAGTGAGGTTTCTCGAGATGGGATTTTGAGCCCATTGCTTTTTCTTACTTATATTAATGACATTATATCTGTATGTGACGATATCCTACTTTTTGCAGATGATTCAAAAGTCTACAAAGTATTGAAAGTGATGAGGACGAAAACAATTTTATGCGGGATATTGGTAAATTAATAGTTTGGTTTAATAATTGAAAATTGAAATTAAACAAAGAAAAATGTCAGTTGTTAAAAATTTGCTCCAACAAACCGTGTTTACCCTACACCATTTTGGATGGCAACGTTTGTATATGGTGCCATAATTTCAAGTTAACTATAGTATCTAGCCGTAAGGACTGCCGTAAATTTTTTTCGACTAGCTAAGCTAGGATTGTTCTAGAATCAAAAAAGTGATGGCTTTAACGGTAGTTGCACTATTAAGCTATTCGTCTTGAAATGGCAGAGCCGAATGTCAAATTTTGGCCAACTCCTCGGTGCGTCTCTATTAAACTATAAAATAAAGTTAACTGATTGTTGTGTTAGTAGATGTATCAATTAAATAATCAGTGGCTTCCTGTGTAATATATATGTGTGTGAATTTGTGTGTGTATATGTGTGCACATACGTGTGTGTATGTGTAAAACAAGATATTGTTATAACAAAACTACCTTATGTTAGAATATATTGATGTTGTTTCTTGATGTTGTTTTTTCAATGTTTCCTAGTTAAATGATTGTTGTGTTAGTAGAGATGTGTTAATTAATTAGTTAATCGATCAGTGGCTTCCTACATAATATATATGCGTAAATTTGTGTGTGTATTTGTGCTTATTCATATAAATGTGTATAGGTGTGTGTACATGTGTGTGTGTATATATATATGTGCAATTGTGCATGTGCATGTATATGAAAATTTGGTTAATATGTATTTGTATGTCACATCTACCTAAATATCGATCGTGACAAAATAAATGTAAATTAAACGAATGAACACACATTTGTAATTATAAATCTGGGGTCTGTTTTATGATTTAGCTGTTGTTGGAAATGACATTGAAATTCACGTGAATATGATAGATTGTTGGTAGAAGTTGGCAATTGTGTTTTCCAACATTTTTTCCCATATTTTTCCGTTTTGGAACCACGCTATATTAAACGAATCGTTCTTCATCTTCCATTGACTTTGTTTGCTATTTTTAAGAAAACTGTTTATTTTTAATGAAATGTTATGCTTTTTTTTACGTCAGGAATTTTTTTACAAACTTTTTTACATCAAGCGTTTGAATTTTTTTGAGTAATTATTTTCTCCAAGTGATATTTCTCGTTCCTTATTCACATCCAGATATCAGTTTTTAATTAGTTTTTTAATTTTGACAACTTTTTTAATATTTTCAATTAATTTTGTATTTAATTTTTATAAATCAATCAATTAATTGATAAAATTTTTTTGAACCTTTCAACTTGTTTGCTCATATATTTTTCAATATTTTCATTATTTGAATTACTTTTTCGGGTAAACCTTGAATTTTTATAGTAAGAATTTGTTTCTAATAAATTAAGAATCAATCTTTCATTAATTTTAAATCTTTTTGAAAGTTATTTCAATCGTTTAATCAATTTTTAATTAGTTTTGAATCTTTTTAGAAGTTATTTCAATCAATCAATCAATCGATCTATCCATCCATCCATCCATCCATCCATTCATCCATCCATCCATCCATCCATCCATCCATCCATCCATCCATCCATCCATCCATCCATCAATCAATCAATCAATCAATCAATCAATCAATCAATCAATCAATCAATCAACCAACCAATCAATCAAACAACCAACCAATCAATCAATCAATCAATCAAAAATCAATCGATTGGTTGGTTGATCGGTTGGTCAGTTAGTCACCCATTTGATCATATCGATTTCTCAATCAATGAATCAGTCAGTCAGTCGGTCGATCGGTCGGTCAGTGTTGGTATCACGCATTATATATGCACACATTTTTAAATTAAATTCCCATCTTACACGTATATCATACTAACTATAACACGTTTCATTTATTGATTTTGTTATAGTTACATCTAATCAACTAGAATGAATTACCAACGTGATAGTCCAAACCATTACATGTGTATTTATATATATATATATATATATATATATATATATATATATATATATATAATATATGTCAAGTCGATAGTTTTGATGCATTGCTTTGCTTGATACAAAAAATAAATTGTACATTTGATTGCGATGTTCATTTCTTGAACATTTTTTTTTTATTTCGTTCCGATCGATCGTTCGTCAATTTTAACATGCAAATACTGGCGTCTCTGGTCATTTACCTGGGATCTGACCAGTCATTAGATTTCATATTGTAACATTTATTTATGAAATAGAATGTTATTTATTTTTTATTTTTAGCGATTATAATCGTTATTATTTATTTCGATAACTTTGAAATTGCCAGTTGATCAAATTACCACTGATCAACCAATCATATAGCGGAAGAATTTCGTTGCTTGCCCTCACCACCATTTTCGCTTCGAATGCCGTTGTTTACACTTCCACGACCAGTTTGATATCTTTGACCTCCCCGGCTTGCCTGTTCTTCTTTTCCTCTTTGACCTCCCTGACCTCCTTGACCTCCCCGATCTGTCTGACCTTTTTGACCAACCTGGCCTGCCTGACCTCCTTGATTTTCCTGGCCTGCTTGACCTCCCCGGCCTGCCTGACCTGCTCGGCCTGCTTGACCTCCCCGGCTTGCCTGACCTGCTTGACCTCCCCGACCTGCTTGACCTCCCTGGCCTGCCTGTCCTCTTTGTCCTCCCCGACCAGTTTGTCCATCTTGACTTCCTTGTCCACCTTGACCTACCTGGCCTGCTTGCCATCCTTGACCACTCCGCCCTACCTGACCTTCAACACTTTGAGGACCAACTACTCTATCTGTTTCTCTCACGTTTATCACACTGCCAAGATTAGGAGCAGCACTTGTGGTACCACCTCCTTTTCCTCCACCTTGTCCTCTTCCAATCCCACCAGCACCACCTCTATTACCTTTTTCTCTTCTCCCGCTCCCATCTTTTCCGTATTGATTGCTTTCTACGTTGTTGACGTTTCTGTTCAAAGCGGCTATTGCTACTGTTGTTTTTGTTGTCATCAGTAATGTTGTATTCGTTGCAGATGTAGTTGTTATTAATGTTAAATTTGTAGTAGCTGGTGTTGATAGCGGTGCTAAATTCGTTGCAGTTGTTAAGCATCGTAGCAATTCATATGGGATTGATTTTTCTAACATTTTAAAATGTAAAATTTTAAGGAGTTATTTTTTATCATTATTTATTTTGCATCTGTGTTTATTTTCTACGAAGGACGTCAGAAGAAACTTTAATGAAAAGCAATAACGAAGCTTTTGCATGGATGTTCCATCAAATTTCATTTATGTGCATGAAAGTGGTACTATAAAACTTCAAATAACTTCACCAAATCAGTTGTTGTTAAAAGCTATGAAAGTGCGCCAAACGTAGAATTTTTGAATGAAAATTTCACACATTTGATGAGCATGTATGTTTAAAAATATAATGCTGGTAAAGAACATAATTAATGCAGTACTTCATGAAATCAACCGAAAATTCGGTAGATTTCATAAATTACTGCATAAAAATATAAGTTAATAAACAAATCCTATATTAACATACATTATTAACAGAATCTCGCTTCGCTAAAACCATGCCGCCTTCTTTCTTTCTTCGGCCATTCTAAACAATTTTTTCTTGAAATTAATCACTTAAATCCTGTGATAGATTATATAAATATAATTATTGGTAATAATGAAATTTTACAAAAAGCAGTGAGAAGAAGTAAAAATGGTTTGAATAATTTCTACATTTGCACTTTTGTTAATTTTTAAGCGCTTCAATAAAATTCTAAATTTTCTCGTCTGTCGTTTTATTTATATCTATGGTTGTTTTAATATATATATATATATATATATATATTTATATATATATATATATATAGTCTCTTTCTCTTTTTATATATATATATATACATATATACATATATGGTCTCGTTATTGTTTGTTATTTGGTTTATTTTTAATTTTTAAAATGGCCGAGAGGATCGCGTTGATATCCCAGAAGTCAATCGCTAATTGGGACAAATCAGGAAAAATCGATTTGTAAGTTTTTATTTATATTTTAAAAATTTATTTTTCATATTGCGATTTTGTTGAATTTTTTAATTGTGCCTGTGTAATTATCGGATTGGATCATCCTCTGCCCAGCAGCAAAATGAATGATGAATGAAAATGAACGACGATTATTTTCCTTTTTAATTTCTCATTGCTTATCATCTGTAATCTCTAATTAATTTTTAATTAAAATAAAAATGTTGGCTTCAAGTTGTCAGTTATTATGATAGTAGCCAGTCTAATGATCTTTACTACTTATAGTACAATGTATAACAAATCTAATCTCTAATAATGGAATAGGTCTAATATTCTAATCTAATTATAATTATATTTCGCCCATCAATAAATTAAATTAATAAATAATACTCAATGTTTCAATTTCATTTTTTCACTTGAGATGAAGATGAGATTTCTTTATTTTTTGTATGCCAGAGATAAGGTTAGGATTGGTTAGGTGGGTGTTCAGGTTGTTGTTAAATAAAAAAAATGATAGGGTAAGAGTTAAGATGTAAGATATGAATGATCAATTTTGAATAAATTTGGAATAAGATGAATATTATTAGACACCAAATGATTAATTGGAGGGAAGGATCATCAAAAAATCAAAAAAGAAAAGGCAATTTCTTTTAAAATTTTATTTTTTACCTAATTAATTGAAAAACTAGACATTGGCGATCATTGACCTCCTCAAAACCCGATCTTTAAGATTTTATAGTAGTTGAAATGGGGTGATATTCAACAAGTGTCACAAAGACTTGAAGAATGTTATTCATTATTGACAACAATCTTTCCTGTAGTCGTTACATTTTTCATTCTTTTCTTCCGCATGATGTGATCAAAAAAACTTTAACTGCCCCCAGTTTATCTGTAGTAATTTCCTCTTTTCATAACCCGATTGTTTATATATAGATTGTTTATACATAGATTATAGATTATACTTATTCCTATTTATGAGTTTTGATAGTTTGAGTTTGTTATTTTGTGAGTCAAAGTGAGAGCACATTTGACTTTTTACAAATTATAAATTAGGCTTATAAAATACTAATTAATTAATTCAATCAAGCTATATTTGATAGTAATCATATGTGATAGATACTATTTAGATTGGAATGAGTGATGTGAGTCTAGGATCAAATTAGTTGGAGACAGACAACTTAGCGTTTTTGTTTTTTTATAATAAAAGGCCTGGATTGTTAAAAATATTTCTACTGATTTATTTATTTATTAAAAAAGCATTGAATTTTATTAAAACCAAAAATTTCTTCTACTATATGTATATATTAATATTTCAATATTTTCATTACAGTTTGGAGAGTTGTAAAGAATGCCTTAAAAGTTCAACCGGTGACAAAATAAAGTACGAGAACGTCAGTAGGCCAGGTGAATCTGACATAAAGAGATTGCTGTACGAGCTTTGCCTTGTGGGTGTCAAGGGTCAACTGAAAATTGACCAAGTGGTGGCCACCTTTACTGAAATTGCTGTTAGAAATATTTTTTTTTATATTAAAGTTTGATTCTTTGTTCCACATTTGTTATCATTTTGAAATGTTTTCTCTGCTTCCCTCATCACTATGAAACTGATTCTTGAATAGAGTTTTACATATTAATATTCTATTCAATTTCTATGAAACTTTAAATTATATAAATCATTAATTTGATTAATCATTAGTTGAGTGTAAATGAAAATTTTTGAGACCTATGTCTCTTGTTCCTCTGCAGTGAATATTATTAAAATTGAATATGTGCCTGTCTGTTGAAAATGGTGATGATTGGATTGTGCAATTTGTTACATCTAATGTTAATTTTATACCCCACTTGACAGAGTTTGTACCCCAGCATAACATTGCTCCTAGCTGATGTCTTTGGTGTTCTAGGTTGGCTTGTTTAATTTTCAATAAATCGACCAACATTCTGATCATCCATCATCGTTGTTTTTATTTTAAAAATTGTTACTTATTAACATGAAGGATCACCATCATCATTCATCATCACTATTCATCACATTGTTTCCATTCTTACAATTATTTATTGTTGTTATCGTCGCTATTGTCACTATCTAACAGCTAACTTATAAAAACACATTGCAATTTAAGCAGCATCTAATTCCAAATTTTAATGTGATTAGTACATCAAATAACATACAGTCATGCACACATTTACATATGGCCGTGCACATTGGCATGTATTCATACATATGTGCATTCTCACCTATCTAGCACATATATATTCATCTGATGTGCTCGCATCTCGCAGATATTGAACTCTCGTGTTACGATGTAGCTGAAAGTAGGGGGAACTTCATCAACTTGTTGATCGCCTCACAGGTTGGTGATCGTAACAAAAAGTCATTAATCGTTATAATCAATTTTTTAATTATTAATTAATTAATTAATTGTTGTTGTTGTTAATTAATTAAAATTAATTAATTATTATAATATCATATCCAACCATTATAACTTTAGGACATTAATTGATCTTTTTATTACTTAACTTTAGGTAATAGTACCAGAAAGCTTGTTGAAGGAGAGATTGGATCTTGACGTTTTAGAGGCTTTGGGTCTGCTTCAGTCAAAAACTATTTACCAGCAGAAATATGTGAAGACCAAGACAAAATTATAGTGAGATGTTTAATTTTTTTCAGTAATCTCAGTATTATTACTTCTACTTGTAATGTTGGCAACATTGTGCTAGTATGACTTCTGCTACTGCTACTTGCTGATATAAATATTATCAACGACAACAACAATGTAGCATCAATGACAAAAATGATAATGTAATCAAATTGTAACAGCTACAAACAGCAAAAGTTCAACTTATTGCGCGAGGAGCCCGAAGGCTATGCCAAACTAATAACAGAGTTGTGTCAGGAGTACAATAGTGATGAACATTCTAAATCTGCCAGTCAAGAGAGGATCGATGATCGGTTGGAGGCTGTCTTGGAACGTGTCAAGTCCCTTATAGGTTCCATTCTGTTTGTTTGTTTGTTACACGTGTTGTTTGGAGCATGATGGTGTAAGGGTTATAATACTCGGTACTGCCATCCATAGTGACTGGATTTGAATGTAGAGATCCATGCCTATTACGTTCAGTGTTTGTGATGCATTGATTCATGGGTATTTACATACATTGTCTGTTTGTTGTTGATACCTCTGAGATGTACTGAAAAGTGAATTGTAGAGAATTGTTTGTATGCACGCAGATATGAATGTGTATGTTAGTGTTTTTCTCTCTGTACTTGCATGTTTGTGCATGATGGTGATTATATTTACATTATGATTGGTTGAATGCTTGTATTAGTATGATAATTTTGTTTATTTGGATGATATTGTAAGTTTATGTTAATTTGTTTGCGGATTAGTATTTGTAGGTTGTATTTTCATTGGATGTTTCGTTTGTTGTTATGTGTGGATAATGTATCGTATGTCTGCCATTTGTTTGCCTAACTATCAATATGCTAACACATTCGCTACTTTATTGAAGTGTTGTATTGATTTGATTGTAAACAGGATGCACAAACAAAAATACCCAATATAACAAATGACTTGTTTCCATCATTTTGTTATTTTGTTGTTCTTCCTTATAATAATCTTCATTCTCTTGATTATCATCTATTATCATCTATATAGTCCGCGCTTTTTGAAATGGCTACATTACCACCACCATCTTTTTTGATTATCATCATCGTCGTCGTCGTCGTCATCAACGTTATCATCCACACCATTGCAGGCTGCTTCAATTTGGATCCTAATAGAGTGCTGGATATAATCCTGGAGGTTTGTGGTTACATATATATTGCCTGGGTGGGAATGTATTACATTTGTCTCTATTTGACTGATTCTTTCTCACTCTATCTTTTCTTTTTGTTTTCTCTCTCTTTCTCTCTCTCTCTTTTTCTCTCTCTCTCTCCTTCCTACTCTTTCTCCATGATCGTGGGTCAAGTTCATTGGGAACGTGGGGTGGTAATATTTTATTGAAAAATTGAACTATGGGAGGATGCTTGGGGTTGATGTTTGATTTGTTAACAATGATTGATCAGCAGAGCTCAAAGTTAACATCACTCAATTTTATACTATATTCTCCCTTCTGCCTTCTTTCTTAAACTACTCTAATGTTCTCTCTCTCTCTCTCTCTTTCTTCTCTTCTCTTCTAGTGAGCTTTGTTGTAAATTTCAATAGAACACTATTAGCATTGAAAATGTATTTATCGATTGCAATACCATGAAATTGATTTAGGTATTTGAATGTAGACCGGAGAAGCAGGACTTCTTCATACCGCTGCTGAGCAAGTACACATTGGACCCTACGACGCTATGCCACATTCTGGGATTCAAATTTCAATTCTATCAGGTTTCTGATGTTGATGAGGTTGATGATGCTGTTTGTTTGCTTGTTTGTTTGTTTGTTTGTCTCATGTTTTTTTGTGTTTGATGTCATTTGTTATCTTCATTTCTTGAAAATATTTCTTTTTGAAATGTTTGGTTTTATATATTTAATTTTTTTATAAAAAATTGTCATTTGATGATATGAGATGCATTCAGCAGTGTTGAAGACTTATTTATTTGATGATTTGATGTCGTTGCTAAAATTGTTGTTGTTAAGTCGTTTAATCATACATAGTCGTTTATCATCTTTGTTCTATTACTTCATACGTTTAATATGTTCATTTGCATACATATTCATACTCATTTATCAATCCATAAATCTTCGTTTTGCGTCCAGAGACCCGGTTTCCCGAGGTAGGACGTACTCATTTATTCATACTCATTTATATACAGTGCATGTACACTGCACTATTTTGTGCAAAAATGCATCAATCTGTACAAATGCTAAACAATCCAATCAATACATGCTTAAAGACAAAGACAGTCATAATGTCTCACTCAAACACAGTTGAATATATAATCTATTATGAATAATGCACCTACAGCAAACAGCTGATTCAGTAACAGAAGCCTCCCTCTACCACATGACAGCCCAGCTCATCCAGCACAATTTGATCTCCTTGGATGCTCTTGTACCTCATGTTAGTTGCCTGCTCGAGTTTCTGTTTGGTTGATTGGTTGGTTTGTTGATTGGTTGGTTGATTGGTTGGTTGGTTGTTTAGATGTTTCGTTGGTTGGTAGATTGTTCCAACGAACCGTTTAACTATTTAATTTATTCCATCAAACAAACAACTACCAATATTTTGTACCAGCCACTTTTATTTTGCTAGTCACCATTTAAAGAAGAAATATTTAAGTCATCTGAGCCAACCATTTCACCAATCAAGCAGACATTCAAATGAATTCTATTGATAAATTACCTATTGATCAACCATTCAACCAACCAAACAATCAGCTATCTCCATCTGATTCTGAAATGATGGACAAATACAAGAAAGAATTGACCGAAGCCAAGCAGCACCACCTCAAGTTGAATGTCCTCGGTACAATGGTGGACAAAAGTATTGGGGATGATAATAAAGAAAATAATACTTCCACTACTGCTACCACAACTGCTGCCGCCTCTGGTAATAACAGTATTGGTAGTAATAATACTGTAGCAGCTAGTACTGGCAGTGGGGCGAACAATGAAAAGGACCGGAGTGAGGTTTGTATTACAGGGGTGTGGTTTTGTGATGTTTTTTTTATTGTTCCTTTAAAAAAAAATCAGGGTCTGACAGGTGCAGAAACTTTGGGATTTATTTTGATTTGAGTAATGTGATTTGATGTTGATGTCGTTTGTAACTGTATTTCTAAGTTTGTTTATTATTTTAAAAATAATGGTAATGATGTATAATTAGTGCGGTCGTTGTCTATCTATCTATCTATCTATCTATCTATCTATCTATCTATCTATCTATCTGTCTGTCTGTCTGTCTGTCTGTCTGTCTGTCTATCTATCTATCTATCTATCTATCTATCTATCTATCTATCTATCTATCTATCAAGCTATCTATCTATCTATCTATCTATCTATCTATCTATCTATCTATCTATCTATCTATCTATCTATCTATCTATCTATCTATCTATCTATCTATCTATCTATCTATCTATCTATCTATCTATCTATCTATCTATCAAGCTATCAAGCTATCTATCTACATCATCGTCTTCGTCACATCATAGGACATCATCGTCTTCATCACATCCCATCATATCACATCACATGGCCAAACACAACAAACACTTGCAGGATAACGATGTAACAACGACAACAACAAACATCAATAACAACATGAATGACTGGAGCGCCAGCGTGAACAACAACAACAACCAGAAACTTGGACTCTGTGGTGCCCTCATCGACATTGGGGATTGGGCACATGCCCAGGAAATAATTTCCATGCTGCCTCCCTTCACTGTCGTCTCACATCCAACCGTCTGCCAGTCACTCTGTCGACTTATCAAATACATTATTCAACCCTTATATGATATGTTGGTCTATGTTCTTGATGTTATCGCTATTTATTGTATTTAGTTTTTAGTTTGTGATATTTAAAAAAAAACCGACTCTGTACCAAATGACAAACAAATGACTCTATTGAAAACAGGCACTGTGGATTGCCATTGGAGATTTTATCCAATCAACAGAAGAAGTCTTCATCTCCGTCACCCAACTACCCGCCATTCATTGAGCGTGCCACGGAATTTGAACATCTTCCCTTGTTAGCCTTCCCTCTGATCAGTCAGCTTGGTAAGTGTGGTTTTTGTATTCATTCTGTGGTTTTTTTCGTAGCTGTTATGTTTGTTGCTGCTGTTGTCGTGAGTGCTGCAGATGTCAGTGCTGCTTTTGTTATTTGTCCTCTTATAATATAACTTGTCAAATCTTTTATCCTGATGGAAAAATACTTTTTTTTATATAATTTTTGTTGTCTTGCAATTATTATTTTTATGATCATTACTTTTTCATTATTTTATTCTTAAACTAACTTTTTGTTGTAAATTGATTGAAAGTTTATTTGATAAAAAAGAAAATTTGTATCACTTGATATGAGCTGGTAAATAAGTTTAACGTTTGTACGTAATTGCATTTGTATCATTCTATACTTGAAATGAAATATCATCGTTAGATGTACACAGTATTTGCATCACAGGTAAAAAAAAGTATGAAAAGCTATCTCATTTATTTATGCAAACAACAAAATCAAAAGTCATTAACCACAACAAAAATAATAATAATAATAAAATTTTATTTATTATCTCTCCCCTCCCTTTGAAAGGTCCTTATCTCTACAGAGATCCCATCCTATTAGTGAAGATCAACAGAATAGCCAAGACATATATGACAGAGGTGAGTGCTTCTTAAAATTCAATCTTTGTTAGTCGCTTGTTATATTTCGTTAATTTTTGTTGTTGTATCCATTTGTTACTCCCATGTTGCTCACATCTGGATTATAAAACTTGCTCCAACTCGTTACTAACTCCACACACAGCAGCAGCTCAGTTTCAGTACATTTTAGTGATAATTACATTTTATCAACACCTCTTTTCCGTTGTAAATATTTATTTTTAACCGTTTATACTGTGTTGTCGTTGTTTTTAAACCATCAGCCATTTTTTTTTATTAAAAGTACAAGTACAGCTGCAACACTCCTTAAAATTTGATGCATATTTAAGTATAATACAGACAGTACTTTTGTGATAATAAGCTAAAACTATGATCGCTACTCATCAATAAAACAATTGCTTCCCACTTTAATTTGGCGATTTTTAGCTCTTTGTTATTTTATTTCCAACAACAATATGTAAACGGAAATAATAAATGAAACACTGATTCCAATTATTTTTATTTCTTTGTTCTCTCACATTCAGAGAGAGAAGTTGAAGCAGCAGCAGCCGCAGCAGAATAGGTCGGAGCTGACGGATGTGTTCTGTGGACTGATGACGATATACGACGAGTCCATCCTACCCAGCCTCTCGCTCATGCCTGGTAACTGCTGCGTCTCCGAGGAACTTTGGGGCTTCATCAAGACGCTCAGATACGAACACAGGTAGTTGATCTGTCTGTCTCCAAATCACCTTCCTCACTCTTGGTATGACCAGTAGTAACCACCACACCACTGACGTCACCACCACATCACCACCATCACACTTGCAGGTACAGACTCTATGGACAGTGGAAGAATGAATCCCGCCTGCATAATCCTGTCTTGTTGAAGGCACATGCTGAAGTTCTGCACAAGTCCAAGTACATCATGAAGTATGTGTGGGTGGATGAGTTGTTGTTTGCTAGTGATGGTGCTACTCATTTCATGATGATGTTATGGTGGTAATGAAGTGCTGTCATCACGTGATAGTGCTTATATGTTAGGATGACTTTTATTAGCATAATTTTTTGATATTTTTAGACTTTTGAAGTTATGTTTCTCAATGATTTGTGCTAGAAACAACATTTTGAGTGTGAATGAAAATGAATTATTCATTTTGATGAGTGAATAGTAAAAAATGATGATGATGAGTAAATAATGTCCTGACTTGAATATTCATGAGTTTCTAAACACTGCTTGTTCAACTAACAAAATCATCTAAAAAAAACCAGACGACTTGCCAAGGAAAATGTGAAGCCACTTGGACGACAGATTGGCAAACTGTCCCACAGTGCTCCCGGTGTTGTCTTTGAACACGTTAGTTCACTCACTTGTTATCTCCATCATCGTTATTACATTTTATTTCCGTGTCAACATTTGTTCTTTTTTCTGTTTGTCTGATCTTTTGTTATTGTCACAAGTTTATTCGGCTTACACCATCATCAAATTTATCATCATATATATCATCTGTATAGATGTGATTTGACTGTTGTAAATCACCATCATCATCACATTCAATGTCATAATCATCATCAATTGTAATTGCACCATTTCTATCATCATTGTCATTGCTGCTTTCATCATCGTCATACCATCATCACCGTCACCATCGTTGCAGATATTATCCCAGATTCAGAGATACGACAACTTCATCATTCCAGTAGTTGATAGTCTCAAGTTTCTCACTTCGTTATCATATGACGTCCTCATATGTGAGTTTTGGAATTTTGTTTTTTAGTGAATAATTATTTTCATTATTTCTGGATCTGAGTAGGATTATAATTTTAAATCATGGTTAAATGTTGAATATCATGCAGATTGCATCATCGAGGCACTGGCCAATCCTGAGAGGGAAAGAATGAAAACGGATGGCACTAACATATCAACATGGCTGCAAAGTTTGTATTTGTCTGTCTCTCTGTCTGTCCGTTCAATGTCTGTCTGTCTGATGTTGGTTTGTATGTCTGTCTGTGTGTCTGCCTGTGTGTTTGTTTGTAAACATGGTACTTAGTAGATGTACACATTAAAAAATAAAAACGTCATGGTAGAATATAATTGATTGACAGGCCTTGCAAACTTCAGTGGGTCAGTTTTGAAAAAGTATCAGGTTGATATAGCTGGTCTCCTCCACTATATTCTCAATCAGATGAAAGCTGGAAAGAGGTTGGAGTTGTCATCGTTTTGATAGTCATCACCAGTATTACAGTCTTTATCATCATCTTCATCACCATTTCTGTTATCATCTTCATCCTCATCATCATCTACATATCATAATCGTCACCATGCATGACATCCAGTTACGATCTGTACGTCTTGAGGGAAGTAATCCAGAAGATGGCTGGCATTGAGGTTAGTGAGGAGGTGACAGACGACCAGCTGATGGCCATGGCTGGTGGAGAGCTTCTCAAACAAGAGGTTCATTGCTTCTCTTCTTTCTTTTGATAATGACATCCTGCTTGTTGAAATAACTGGAAGAAATCACATTACACGCGTGTTAAACATTGCACCGCACATCCAGGGTGGCTACTTCACTCAAGTACGCAACACAAAGAAGCCATCGAGTAGATTGATGGATTGCCTCACAGAGCACAACCTCACCATTCCTCTCTGCCTCATGATGTCACAGCAGAGAAATGCCATCATCTTCCAACAGCCGAAGCATCAACAACTTCTGCAACTTCAAAAGTCCGATGGCCTGCCTGACGTTGATAATAGGCATGTCAAACTTGTTGGCAAGCTCTACGATCAGGTAAGACAATAATGACGTGATGATGGTGAAAATGACGTGAGGATGGTGAAAATGACGTGAGGATGGTGAAAATGACGTAATGGTGATGGAGTTGTGGAGTTTGTGCTTGGTGAAAAACTGATAATATAATTCACATTTATAAATTAAGTTGATATTCTGCTTGGAGGGTATCAATTATGTTTTCATTTAACTTTCAATCCATCCAATCATCTAATCATTCTATCTTGTTCTATTCATCCACAAAATTATGATGATCTTTGATCACTCCTTTTTTCTCTTCCTCACTTTTCCCATTTCTTTCTGCTATTGTTACATCTCTCACCTAATTGTCTACAATGCTAACTGGATCTCTCATCATTGCATCTTCACACGAGCACAGTGCCAAGACACATTGGTGCAGTTCATCAGCTTCCTGTTGATGCAGACGACAACCGACGAGATGCGGAAGAAGCTTCCAAACATCCACCAGCTCAGCACCACTTACTTCATCTCATCTGAAGTGGCATTCTCATTATGGAGGGGGATCTACACTGCTGATATCAATGTTTGTTTATTTGTTTGTATATTTGTTTGCTTGTTTGTTTATTTTTTTGTTTATTTGTTTGTCTGTTTATTTGTTTGTTTGTTCATTTGTTTGTTTGCTTATTTTCCGTTTATTTGTTTGCTTGTTTGTTTCTATGTATGTATGTTTGTTTGTTTGCTTGCTTGTTTGTTTATTTTTTTGCTGGTTTGCTTGTTTGTTTTTCTTTATTTTTTTAATTTTTTGTTTATTGAATAATTTTTTAACTTCAAGTTAATTTAATTTGCTAGCATATTTTTTTTGCGCATGTTTTTTTTTGGTTCATATAAAAGCAACACTTTTTTTATATCTGTATTATTATTATTATGTTGGTGATTATTGAGATTATCTGAAATAATATTATTCATAACATGTGCTGATTTTCACGTGTTTGTTCTCAGGCAAAAGTTGAGGAACTGAGAAGACAGGAGAAGAAAGACAAGGCATCCCCAAATATCAGCTCACAATCTCTCAAAGTTTGTTTTTTTTCAAATTAGTATCATCCATCTACTTAGCAACTAACCATCTATCTATCTGTCCAGCCAACCATCTATCCAATCTTCTGACCATCTATCTATATCTATCTATCTATCTATCTATATCTATCTATCTATCTATCTATCTATCTATCTATCTATCTATCTATCTATCTATCTATCTATCTATCTATCTATCTATCTATCTATCTATCTATCTATCTATCTATCTATCTATCTATCTATCTATCTATCTATCTATCTATCTATCTATCTATCTATCTATCTATCTATCTATCTATCTATCCATCCATCCATCCATCCATCATCCATCCAATCGCCTGTCTATCTGTTCATCTGTCTTCATCCAATCATCCATCTCTCTAACCATCCATCTGCTCATCTATCCAATCAGCCATCCAACTACCCGTCTGTCCATCCAACCATCCATATCTATCCATCCAATCATCCACCTGTCCATCCAACCATTAATCTGTCCATTCATCGACAGATCCAAAGATATTATGAAGCAGTTGAGTCAGTCATGTCACCCCTCAGGACACAACTGATTGAGCCTATGATGACTCCAAAACTCTGGGAAGAGCTCAAGTCAGTGTTCAGTTTTATGTGCGTGCGTGTGTGTGCGCGTGTATGTGTGCGTGTATGTGTGTGTGTATGTGATAGTTGTTCATGATCATGGAGGTCGGAGTAAGTTATTGACGGCATATCATTTGCTGTTGTGTTGATAAAAATTGTATTTACAATCGTACAATTTGTATTACGTTACAATTCGTAATTTTCGTGGCTTAATTTTGTCATGACGTATGGGCGTATTGTCTATTCATTTGCATAAATTTTGTTTTGCCATGTTGTTGTGTTGTGTTGTGTTCTGTGTTTATTATTATTATTATGTGTTTATAGTTATTTATAACATTTTTATAATTGTTTTTAATTTGACATATCAATTTGTTAGCAGTGTTTATTTATCACCATCAATAGCTTTGTAGTGGTTAACCCAACAACTGTCACTTCATCATCATCATTGTAATAATCATCACATCACCACCTTGCAACAGCATTCAATTTTACACGACCTTCTGGTCGCTGGAGTTGTATGACCTTGAAGTGCCCAACTCGACTTACGAGAACCAAATCAAAATGCACCAGACTCAACTGCAGGTCATTGAAGATAACAAGGATCTGGTCAGTAGAGGAATGTGTGTGTGTGTGTGTGTGTGTGTGTGTGTGTGTGTGGTGGACGGGTGGGTGTGCGAATGATTCAGTGAGTAAATGAGTGAATGAATAAAGGAATGAATGGGAAATGGTTGAGTGAATGATTTGTTAATTGAAGGAATGAATAAATGAATGGTGAATGGCCAAACAGCCAAACATGCATTTTTTGCTTTAATTTCAATTATTATCAGGCGTGTATAGCAGATTTTTTAAAAGTTGATCATGTGGTTGTCGTTGAAATGACAGTCATGTTATAACTTGATAAATTACCTGACAAGGTTCTTAGATAAGTAATGTAACTGATAAATAAGCAATTATTTTCGGGTGGGACGATTGTGTGGTTGGCTGAGCAATTGATTGACTTTTTAATTAGACTGCGCTAACGAGGTTAAATTAGGTTAAATTAGATTAGGTTAAATTAGACTGCGCTAACGAGATTTTACATTTTGACAATTGACATTAAAAAATTTGTCTGCAAACGACTCCATTAAATTAATTATCAACCCATTAAATAAATGAATGATGGAAGGCGCAATCGAAGAAGAAGAAGGAGAAGGAGAGATGCACGAGCCTGATTGAGAAGTTGACCGAGGAGCAGAAGAAACAGGAGGAACACGTCAAGATGGTCATGGCCAGACTCAACAAGGAGAGGGATGTCTGGTTTTCTACAAGTTCGTTTATTCTTTTCTCTCTCTTTCTCTCTCTCTCTCTCTCTCTCTCTCTCTCTCTCTCTTCTCACTTTTTTTTCATTCTATCATTTTAGTGTATTGTCATTGTGATTCTTGTTCTTCCAGATAAGCACATACTGCTTCACTAGTGCAGTTAGTGCTTGTATAGCGGTTATTTTATTTTCATTAGGGTTTTTTCTCGTTTGAGGTACTGTCTTTCATCTTACTTCATTCTAATCTAGTTTATCCGTTCACATTTTCATTCCCCTGTTCATCTGCCTGTGCTGGTCAATAAACTCTTTCTTCTTTCTTTCTCTCTCTTTTTAATTCTTGAATATTTTTAATTATCATCAATCAATCAATCAATTATCCTATTAACTGAACAATGAACTGATCAATCAATCAACTAATTGATAAATCGTTGAATCAATCAATCAATGATCCTATTAATCAATCAATCAATCAATCAATTAATCAATCAATGATCCTAATAATTAATTAATCAATCAATGACAGAACTTGCCAAGCACTCGACGATAACGGCCATCTTACAGTATTGTTTGTTTCCACGAAGCTGCTTCACAGCCATTGATGCAGTCTACTGTGCAAAGTTCCTCTACATGCTGCACAACCTCAAGACATCACACTTCTCATCTCTCATCTGTTATGATAGGGTTGGTTGTCTGGCTGGCTGGCTGACTGTATGGTTGATTGGTTGGCTGTATGGTTGGTTGGTTGGCTGTATGGTTGGCTGGCTGTATGGTTGGTTGGTTGGCTGTGTGGTTGGTTGGTTGTATGGCTGAGTGGGTGATTGAATTGTTTAATGTTACCGTTGTGTGTTTAGTTGTTTAAGTTGTGCCTCAGTTGTACCACATCAATGTATCAGCAAACATTTTTTTACACTCAACTCTTTAACTTCGTAATATTTAATTGTTTCACTCGCATTGAACTTTTTCGTACATTTATGATGGTCTTTGGTATTTAAATTCATCAAACTGACCTTGAATTTGACCCGGACTTTAACTCGACCCAGATCTTCAGTGACATCACGTGGACACTATCCAGTTGCACAGAGAACGAGGCACACAGGTACGGCAGATTCCTATGCTGTGTACTCAACGACATCATGAGGTGGCACTCTGATAAAAATATTTACGATAGGGTTAGTTGGTTGGCTGATTGGTTGGTTGATTGGTTGGCTGACTGGCTGGCTGGCTGGCTGGCTGGCTGGCTGGCTGGTTGGTTGGTTGGTTGGTTGGTTGGTTGGTTGGTTGGTTGGTTGGTTGGTTGGTTGGTTGGTTAGTTGTATGATGGCTGGTTTGTTGATTTTTTTTTTTATAAAAGGCTGATGAATTGTTCTGTATGGAAGTAATGATTTGTTGATTGTTCAGTTGATTAGCATCTATGAAATAATAATTTTTTCTCCGTTGTTATTCAGGAATGCGCCAACTATCCGGGATTTGTGACAGTTTTCCGCTCTCCCAACACAACTTCAAATGCGATTGCTGATAATCTCGATTACGAGAATTTCAGACACGTCGTACATAAATGGCACTACAGCATCACAAGGGTTGGTTGATTGATTGATTGATAGGTTGGATGATTGGTTGGATGATTGGTTGGATGATTGGTTGATTAATAGTTTGATTGATTGATTAATTGATTTATAAATTGATTGATTGATTGAATAATTGATTAGTTTGGTTGGTCGATAAAATGACTGATTGTTTTCATTTTTTTTGATAATCTGCATTCATCACAAACAGGTTGCAGTAAATTGTTTGGAGTCTTCAGATTACATCCAAATTAGGAATATGATCATCGTTCTCACCAAGGTGATTTGCATGATGATGTGGTTGATGATGATCATGATGTTAAAGAGGGTGATAGAAATGTTGAAAGATGATGACGTTCAATGATTATCGTGAGATGGTGTTTTTTTTGTGATGTTAAGGATGGTGTTTGGTGATAATGGTGTTGATGTTTGGTGATAATGAAGATGATGTTTAATGATATATATCCCATGACACATACTTTCACATCACATGACTCTTACAACTGCTTCTTTACCAAATGGCTTTCACAACTACTACTACATACTACATTGCTATAACCACCACCACACAGATTCTCAGTAACTACCCACGCGTTATGAAGCTAGGAGCTGCCCTGGAAAGAAGGGTTGAGAAGGTCGTTGAGGTGGAAAAAGAGAAGAGACAGGATCTATACGTCCTTGCCCTTGCGTATATTCCCGATGTTTTTGTTGTTGTTGGTGGTGGTGGTGGTGATGTTGTCGTTTTTGTCGCGATTGATGATGCTGATTGTTGATGTAATTGCGTATGTCTTTGTTGTTGTCATCACTTGAGCTGACGTGGCTGTTGATGTTATTTCAACTTGCAGTTTGTGGCTGTTGATGTCTTAAAATGAGTTCTTTTTTTATCTCCAAAGTGCTGTAAAGATAAATATTAGTATTTATTTGTTAATTTACCTAAATTACATTAATCATCACTACAGATACCTCGGTCAGTTGAAATCTACCAAGAAACATTGGGTGCAAGACTATCAGTTCCACAAGAAGGAAGCTGAAACTGTTAGTGAGTGAGTGAGTGAGTGTGAGTGTGTGTGTGTGTGACTGAATGAATGAGTGTGTGACTGAATGAGTGAGTTAGGGACTGAATGAGTGAATGAGTAAGTGAGTGAGTGAGTAAGTGAATGAGTAAGTGAATGAGTAAGTGAATGAGTGGATATGTGAATAGTTAGTTGAATGGAAATGTATGTGTATCCTGTAAATGTAACGAGTTTGTGTGGAAACGAGCGGGTTGATGAACCGAAATGATGAACGTGAGTTACACTGCAACTGATGCTGACGATGATGAGATGGATTGTTTAAAAATTTCTCCCAAGCAGAAACCAGTTGGAGCTAAGCCAGTGAACAAAACTACAACAGCATCATCAGTAACTACAACAACGCCGTCGTCAACCGCAACATCATCATCTTCAGCAGCAGCAACAACAACAACAGCAACAGCAGCAAGCGCCAATGCTGTTACGACGACTGCAACAAGTTCAGATAACATTACGTCAACTGTTAAAGTGGAGTACGGTTAGCACACTTAACTGTTTTATTAATAATTTTATTAATTTGGATCTATTAATTAATTAATTAATTAATTAATTAATTAATTTATTTATTTAACTAACTTCAAAAAGAAAGAGATGAAAAATGTAGGAAATGCAAAGATGAATGTGCTCAGACTTTAAAATATTTCATTAATTAGAAAATATAATTAAATAAGAAACAAATAAATTAGATATTAATTAATTCTTTTACTCTGATTCCTTTCTTGTAGAAAAAACTCCAATGTCAGTCAAACCGAAACCAACGAAAGAAGTCGCCAATGGGGTGGCCACACCAACCACAGGAGCCAACAACGGCACCACAACTTCCATTTCTTCTACTACCAGGTTCCGATGCTTGCTTGCAATATTCATTCTCACTAATATCATAGTTTTTTTTACCACATATAGAGCTTTTACATATTTAAAATTGCACCAGAAAAGTCAGCAAACATAACTTTATTTATAATTTTGATCAAGAAGCATACTGTTTGATAACAATTAATTATCCAATCAAAATATCAAATGATGGAGGATTGATTGAGCGGTTAATTTCAAATGATTGATCAATGATTCAGAGTGGCTGATCACGTGCAGTCGAGCAAGCAGCAGACAAATCCATCTTCATCAGCTGCCAATTCCCAGAGATCGTTGAAAGATCCAAGTCGGATGAGTAGAGATAGGAGAGAACAACAAGTTAGTTGGTTGATCGGTTGGCTGATTTGTTGACTGGTTAATTGATTGATTGATTAGTTGGTTGATTGATTAGTTGGTTGGTTGGTCGGTCGGTTCGTTGGCTGTTTGGTGGGTTAGTTGATTGATTGTTCTGTTGATTGATTGATCGGTTGATTGATTGGTTAGTTGATTGGTTGATGAACCGTAACGGTAGTATGTTGATTTATAGTTGTTTATTTTGTTTGCTATATCATTTGATCAGTAAATAACTTTTCATTTACCGATTGATTAACGTGGCATTTAGTTTGTAAATGTAACGAGAACAGACGTAATTTGCACACACCTACCACATTCGTATAGCAGGTGGATGTGAAGAAATCTGAGCACGACAAATCGGCCCCATCTTCGACGTCGTCCACCCCCACAGGGTCGGGCATCAGAGAGGAACGTGGTCGGGCGTCAGGTGCGGCCCTCTCCGAACCCCCGCAACATTTCAATCAGTCACCCAACACTTCTGGCAGCAACCGAAGATCGCGTGGCAGGAATAGGGAGGATGTTGATAATGACGCCAACAACCAATCATCGTCTGCCAGGAATGATGACGTCGATGAAATTAACAGTGCTGGAGATCATCATCATCATCACAGGGGTTCCAACAGGAGTCTTGGCACAGAAGAAAGAGGTATATGCGTGTTTGTGCGTGTGTGTGTGTAATATCTGTGTGCGTGCGTCTGTGTGTGTGGTGTGTGTGTAAAAAATCGTCAGTATGCATACGAATGTTTGCGTTTGTGTGCAAGTACGTTTAGCTGGACTTACTTCCACAACAAATTTTTGGTTTCCCGTTGTAATTTTCAAAATTTATTTCATCAAATCACAGATTCCAAGCGACGCAAGTTAGACGCAAGCGCGCCTGTCAGCAACAAGGTACGTTAGTGTGGGTGGAGTTATTTTAGTATGGGTGGAGATTTGAATATTAATGAGCCAATTGGCTGGCTTCAGGTTCTTTCACGTTTAGAGATAATTTTGCATAAAATTGACATGCATCACGTACAAATTAACGTTATTTATAAGTTTTTATTCCATTTCATTGCTACTTCATTTTTATTATTGATATTATGAAAATATTATGTAAGAAATGATATCATGTGTAGAACGCTAGCTGTGGGCGAATCCAAGGTCATCATGATCATGGTGATGATGATGATGAGGGCGACGATGGTTGCGCTAATCATCAGGCTATTGATGATGATGATGGTGGTGGTGGTAAGGCGAGGAGAATAACGATGATTATGGGGGTGATAAAATGATAACGTATTTTAAACTGGGAGACTATGTTCGTACTGCTACTACTACATAACTTGCCATCCTCTTCGCTCGAGTCCGCAGCCGCCCGATCTACGATAAGATTTAATGCCAAACCACAAGCAACATCGAAGCACTCGGTCATTCGTCTGCTCTGTCGTGTTCTTCTCTTTCGAAGTTCTCAACGATCCTGTCGTTGCCAAGATTCGCCGACTTCTAGAGTAGTTAACTGTCGACTGCATTCATTCTTTCCTGCTGTTTTTCACACCAACTGCACACACCAGCTACCTAAAACGTACGCCATGCCACGCAATTCTTACGCACACACACACACATTTCGGCTTTATTCACAGATTATTTCTAGAAAGCTTTATTCAAATCAACATCAACAACAACAGCGGCAGCAACAACAACAACAACAATAGTCTTTATAATAAAACATGCACAACAACAGCAGCAACAACAACACATAAAACATCTACGTATCATCATGAAACAGTGTTGGCACGGAGTCGACTAATTAGCTTGAAATTATTGATTTCTGCAGGATAGTTTCACCCATTCGGATGCCAGAGAACGAACTCGAAAGGTTGGTCATCTGTTTTTGTCTTTTTTTTACTTTTAAATTTCATGAAAAAAAATTCTGGCTGATGGCGTTATCGAGCGTTAAGGTGGTTAACTAAAAAGAGAGGGTGTGTTGGTTCAATTCCTACAAAGTCGTTTTGTTTTTAAAGATATTGTAATATTAAGAATGCTTATTTAAGAATGCTTATACATTTTCTGGTTAGTCTCTCAAAAATTAATGAATAAGCTAGGTATTTATTCTATTTGTCTGTGAATTTAGTTTTAAACAGGCATCAGAGCTACTCTTGCTCTTTTTAAAAACCTCAGTATGATTCCTAATTCCTAATTATATAAAGTGTAATGGCCTCCAACTGAATGGATGCTTGTAACCTAGCAAATGATCAACCATTGATTGATTCTTTCTTTTTAAATTTATTTCATTGATTCATTCATTTTAATCCCTTATTTTTTTCATTCGTTCATCCATTTATTTTTCATCATTAAAGAGCCCACAGTCAAGCAATGAGGATATCATGAACTCAGGAGGCAACCGACCACGTAGTAATCAGAGAGAGAGTGAGTGGAGGAGAGATAAGAATGAGGCAAGAGAAAGGATGGATAGAAAGAGGCACAGTGGAATTGAGGTTGGTTGTGCTGCTGCTGATTGAGTTGGTAACTAAACATACATACGTTACTTCCATCACGTTTTGGTTTTAACATACATGCATGCATGCATGCATGCATACATACATACATACATACATTCTCAAATTTTACCAACAATTATAACAACGAAGCAGGATTCTGATAGAGATATGATGGACAACAGGGATGTGAAGAGATACAAAAGTGATGCTGGTGACCTCATCAAAGCTGGTTCGTAATTGTTCGTTATCAAGTTAATGCTATTTTATTTTTGTCTTTTTTTTTGTTTTTGTAAAATATTGTTTATTATTTCCAACTGCCATTTATTTTCATTAGTGAATTGTTGCTCAATTAGTCGATCCATAATTTGTGGCAACTTGATTTATGATGTCGTCATGTTGCAGATAAGTCAAGTATGGGTGATGAGAAAAAGAAAGATGGCCGGTCGAAAAGAGATGATGGTATTGAGAGATTTCAGCGAGTGAAGGAAGATGACGGCACAACCAAAGATATTAAAGAAAGTAAGGCAATGTTTGCAATGGACGATATCAACATCAAGGAAAGGTCTAAAGATACGAGTTTAAGAAGCCGAAAAGGTGCTAGCAAGGTACAACCCTGAACTTTAAATTTTTGTTCAATGAAGATAGTTTCAAAAGATCGTTCAATTTCATTATTCTCATTTATTTAGGATGCCAGTGACAAGGAGAAAAGATTATCAAGTGAAAAGAAACATCCATTGCCTGCTAAACGCTCGTCGAATTCACAGAGAATTTAATTTTTAGCATTTAACTTTTGTACATATTCCCAGCAATTATGAAATCATATTTACTATTATTCATAAATATGTTGTATATTTTAAAAACAGATATCAAATGTTGTTAGTGAATTACTATTTCTTAATTACTATTTCTTAATTACTACCTGGAAAATCGTTACGAAGGTAATAAAGTTCATCGAACCTTGTAAATTTGACCGCCATCGTTTACAATTCCCAGACAGTTAGTTATTTCTTTGGTCTTCATGTTTGGGTAAGGTGGGTGTTCGTATAAATAATATTACTTCGTTTGGTTTCGCCGTCTCATGTTTTTTCTACGGGTCATCGTTCTCTTGATGTCGATATTGGTTCGTACCTTTTAACGCGGGATTCTGTTTATCACGTAATGTTGTTTTCTGAAAAATAGATAAATCGTAAGTGAACAAAAAATATCGATTCACAATGTTCCGGCTGCTATTCAAATTCAAATGTGCACACAATTCAACCAAATACATATTTTGTAGAACTTTTCAGTGAATGGATATAATCTGTTGAGTTCAATATTTGGGGCGAATAGGCGTCGGCTAAGGCTTGATTTCAGAGGACGAAAGACATGTTTTGCAGTTACAAATGATAATCCTTTAGTGATCAATTTTGTAAATTATTTGATGAATTGTAAAAAATCTAGCCGGAGAATCGTATGATAAAATTTTATGAAAATGTTTTTGGATCAGAGATGATTGGCGTGTCTTTGTGGTTTGCGAATTAAAAGAACACTCATTTGCGCAGACGGCATTTAAACCAAATAGCGAAACGCAATGTAGCAAAACCAATTCTATCATCTACGCTAACTTGTCAACCAATCGAATTAAACGCTGAGTTTTGCAGTTCAGTTTTTTCATCACCCTTGAGCGTGTAGACGTCTAATTAAAATTAATTATTAATAATGGCTTGTACTTTTGAACCATATATGGGCATAAGGATTGATTATTAAATAAACACCAAGATGTGGGTGTAACAAAAACTTAAACGCCCAGAGTTAACGATTGGTGAACTCAAGCCATTAACTACCGTTAAAGGTTACAAGTTCCATTCCCACTTTGAATGAAGTGATAAGAATGGAAGGTAGTTGCAGAGCAGATCATCTGGCAGCGAAGGTGAGTTAAGGGATACGAGCGGTTAAGAATGTTCATAGTGTCAGGCACCTGAAAAAGTAAAAGCTGTAACGAATGAAACAAAAAACACGGAGGTGAGCGAGTTAAAAATATCCCAAATTCGCGCAATATAAATTTTTGAACTTGGTGCGGGTTCCCCGCAGATTTAGAATTAAATTATAGCAAAATATGCTTTGCAAACTTCTTGAACAATAAACATATTATTTAAAAAATGTTTTTATAAAATTTGAATGTGACTCAACAAGAAACTAATACAAACAAAAAACTAATACAAACAAAAAACGAATAAAATTTGCTTACAACGGAAAATTATAAAAAGAGATAATACAGTTTACAGTATTTGTACATGGCACTTTCTTCTCAATATTATTCAGTAAGTATTTTATTCAAAAATAAATCAACAATATGTAATTACAAAGCTAATATCATCGCTACCAGTCAACGCGATCATTGTTTCTTCTGCCTGATTTGCTGTACCATGTCCAGATTCATTGTTGTCTCAGCCAATACTTTTCTTGTCTTGTTAACTGTAATTTATTGTTTATTATATGATAATAAACGTATGTAAGTTAAGCTGAGAAATACAAGTGAAAATTACTACTTTATTAAAAATTTGTTTGATCAGAAAAAGAGAATTTAGAAGAAATCAGCATGCACAAACACAAACAGCAAAAACGAATATAAAAAACAGTAGCAGTACTTTGTTCAATGATTTCAGATTGACTTATCCCCTTAATGGTTTTAGCTGCCTTTGAATGTTTGCCCGTTGCCGTCGGAGGTGCATTCAACTTCTCCTGAAGTGAAGTTTTTTCTTTTTTCAGTTGTTCAATTGTGCTTTCCATTGTTCTCAGTTGCTCTTGTAAAGAAATCTTTTCATTTTTAAGTTCATCAATGGTGCTGCCTAACATTTTCAACCTATCCTTCAATTCCATATTCTCTTCTGAGAGCTGCTTTATTCGTTGATGGTAGTTTTCTATTTCATCTTCGTTTTGCTGGAGCTTCGTGCTCAGCTCAACAAGCACTGACTTTAATTTAGAGTATTGTTCGTTTTTAGTTTTTCTAGCTTCCTCGAGTTCGTTTTTCTCCTTTTCAAGTTGAATTTTTACCAACAACAGAGATTCGTGTTCCTTTTTTAAACAATCTAATTCTGTTTTGACCTCGTTTATTTTTTGTTGGCAACCAATTAGAGTACTAGAAAGGATGTCGTCTGACTTCCGATTGGCTAAAGCTTCCATCTTAATATGCTCATAATTTTCTGTAACTTCAACTGAATGAATATTCATAGAGGAAATTTTTTCTTTCAACAGAACGATTTCTGATTGATACTGTTTAACATTTGAGGCTTCGATTTTGAGTCGATCATTTTTTTCACTGACATCTGCAATGTGGCACTTCAATGAAGAAATATTATCCTTCAAATCTTCAATTTCAATTCGGTACTGCTGTGCTATTGAAACTTCAACTTCAAGCTGCTTACATTGCTCAGTGAGTTCAAGTTTCTCCTTACTCATTGTTGAAATCTGCTCTTTCAATGCAGATATTTCTGACTGGTACTGTTTCGACAAAGAGCTGGTCTCACCATCATCTCGTTTCTGCTGCAGTTTGTTACTTTCAAGTGCAAGGGCAGCAGAACATTCATCATTTCCATCAACATGTTCCTTGACAACATCCAACAATGAGGATCGACCAATGAGTGACGACCGACCGATGATTGATAGTCTGTTAATTGAGGCGTTCAATGCTAGTTCACCATTACCTGTTTGGTTCAAAATGTCTTGTCCCTCTGAAAATTCAAAAATTAAACGGTATAAATACCTCTCAATAATAAGAGTTGTGATGATAAAAGTAAGTGTGATAAATTGCAAATATTAATTTGAAAGGTGAACAAACTGAACAACATTGTACTGTACGTTCGTTAGGACATGCCAGCTTAAAAAAAAAAGATCATACAAGCAACCAACCTTCGATCCAGACCGACACATCCTCCAGAAGACTGGCTGTCTCATTGAGACACTGAGACATCTTTGAGACATCTCCACTGAGACCCAACAGAGAAGAAATGTCGGGGTTGTCGAGAAGTTTTTTCAGAAACACGACAATCTCTTTCAAACGATCCCTCATCAGACGACAATGGTTCTCACTGACCGCCAACATATCGGCCAACAGTTGACTGTCTCCTGATATCTTTCGCGATACCTCACAGTTGTCGGTGGCAAAATCAAACCTGGTTGAATCCATGTTGGGAGCAAGTGAAAGTCTGTTGAGCTCCGAGTCCAAATCTTTAAACGATTGTTCGTGGTGAGTGGTAAAGTTGAATTTGATCGATGAATTGAAACTCTGATCCTTCCCATGCACCCCACTTATTCTTTTTGAATTATTTTTGCTGTCATAGGCACTGATGTTACTCAGGTGCAATCTTGTATGATATTCACTCAATTTCAATGTATTTTTATTTAGAGACGAACCGATTGGTACCTTGGAATCCAGATGATACGATGGATAGACAATAGCAGAATCATTTACGTCGGATGATGGTTTGGCTTCAGATGATTCAGCTAATTTATCTTTCAAGATTTTTATTTCAGCCACTAACTTCACAATAAGCTGGGGATTGAAATCGTTTTTTGATTTACGTTTTGCTGAGCCAGTTTCAACCATTTCCTCATTGATTAGTTTGATTTGTTCAGTTAACAAATCAATTATATCATTAGCCCTCATCAATTCTCTCTTGACTTCCTCTAACTCCTTCTTCAGTGTTGCAACATTTTCATCTTCACTCGTTGCTTTAAGATGATCTCTTGGTTTTACAGACAAATTTTTATGCGAAGATGTAAAATTAAGATGGAATTTAGAATTCTTTGCTCCTGATCTAATTTCACTGACATCTGTACCTTCTTTAATGCTTCTACTTTCATGATTATAAAGATCAAACAGATTACTATTCCTCATGTGGTCTAACAACTCGCTCTTCTTACCCTCCACCCAACGAAGCATTTCCTCCACGGTCACCACGGTTGACCAATCTTTGGAGAAAACTACCTCCAATATCGCCGACATGTTTTCTAAGAACTTTTCTTTCAACTCAACATGTTTCAATGGCTTGCAATCTTCTGACGTCATAATAAAAAATGGAGGACTGGCGTTTGGGGTCAGTTGTAGTTTCTTCTCATTGTGAACCATTTCCAAGTTTCTGGCATCTGGTAGTGATGATAAATTTAAGGCATGCCTCATGTTACTCCCAGGGGCAGAACTTTCAGATGTTGAAGAATTCATTTTAAGGTCGGAGCTGGATTCTGAAATGCAGATGTAATTGTTGCCCAATTGTGTATAAGATTTAAAATTTATTATTGGACATACAAATTAACTTTTTTTTAGATTACATATACATTTTTAGAAAAAAACAACTAAACAAATTCTAAAATAAATAAAGAAGTAAATACCTACAAAACAAAATTTTAAAAAATTTACCTAGCATAGCAGTCAACATACGTTTTTTCATATTAGACTTTTCAACAGACAAACAATCCACTGTATTATTCACCATCTTGTCAGTATAATAAGTGAGTCTTTTTTCTTTCTGTTTTAGTAAACATAAAACATTATTAAAAGAGAAATATTTGGAAATATTAAAAAATTTTTTTTTAATTGCTAACAACTGAGGTATCCAGTAAAGCGTTTGGGGCCTCATTTGTGCACTTGACCATGCCATGAATTTTTTTCTTTAAACTCTGATGAATTATGAAATAAATAGATCAACAACCAATTAATAAATCAATTAATTAATGAAATAAATAAGCAAATAATTGAACAAAAGAAAGAAACTAGGCACATCGATAGAGATCATTTGATTTTTTAGCTGCATCTCATTACCTCAATTTCAATATTCTTTTCCTCCAGTTCTTTACCAAGCCTCATCTCCATCACTTCTTTCTCACATGCCAGACTTTCAATTTGCAAGTTAAGTGACTGGAATAATAAAAATATTACTAATCAATAATTTAAAAAATAAGACGAAAACTACTTTATTAAGATAAAATATCAAATGACATAAAAAGATACATTACATGTAACTTCTCTTTCCATGTTTTCAGATCTCTCGCCTCCTTCATCCAATCATCTTCCATGTCAGAAATCAAGTCATTCCATCTGCCAAACCAATTATTTCTTTCATCTGATGAAGAATCTTTTTGAACTTTGTTTTCAGTTATTAGTTCGGATCTGTTCAGTTGAGAGCTATCTGGTGATTTGACTTTAACAGGATTCTCCTTTTGGTCATCAACATCTCTCTTCAGTGTATGAAGATGTTCGTTCAGCTTGTCAATCATCGCGTCTTTCTGAACAATGGACGACATGAGCTCGTTTGATTTCTGTGTGAGGGCTTCGACCTTCTGAGTGAGGTTCGTATTTATTTCTCTTCCCTCTTTCAACAAGACGTTCAGTTGTTGACCGAGCGCGTCACTGATGGATAACTTTTCAGTCAGTGACTCTTCATTAGTACATTTTAATTTTATATCTGATTGCAATTTTTCAATTGCCTCTTCAAGCTCTGTAATTTTCAATAACAAATTATCGTTCGCTAAGGATAAGCTATTAAGTTTAGCCTCCGAAGTAATTAATTCTTCACTCTTCTTACCAACCTCATCAGTTTTTTTGAGGAGTTCACCTTTGAAATCATTCGCCAGATCCTCAGCTTGCTTTAATCTGTCCACCAAACCATTGAATTCTTTGTTCTTCTCAGCCAGTATGCCTTCTAAGAAGTTAACTTTTTCTCTGAGGTCTGCATTGTTATTATAGAGATCTTGATATGTTCGTTCAACATCATCCAAATGCACCCGTTGTTCATAATTCTGTACCTCGAGATCATCCTTTTCTTCCAATATTTTCTCCAATTCTTTCTTCAAACTTTCGTATTTTTCGATAAACCCTCTCTTTTCCATTTCTCTCCACTCTCCAAAGTTCATCTCCATCACCCATATCCTCTCTTTTAAATCATCATTCTCTCTCCTCATCTTCTCCAGGTTTGCTTCAGCATCCACGTCGTCAACATCGGCGTCACCTTTTTGTGCCTTCAAAATTTCATCAATGTTTCTGATCTGTAGGTAGCTCATATCACTCATCACACGCTCATTTCTGTACTGACAGCTTTCAAATTCACAATCATCATCACCATCATCGTCGGCGTAATCACCTTCACCATGACCTTTCATATGATGGAGAGGATGATGATGAAGAACATCACCAACATTACCATCCACACACTCGGCACTTGGTTGGCACAAGTTACTCCAACTACTGCAGATTCCTTCTTCTTCCAGACCCTCCCCACCATCACCATAGTTACCTGCTCCAGCGATGACATTACTGTTGTTGTTGTTGGAAATTTGGTGAAGTTGGTTTTGGTAGAATTGTATGGTCCTCTCCTGGTCTTTTATGACATCTTCCCTGTCCTTCAGTTTGTTCGATAGCTTTTCAACGTAACTTTCCAACAAAAACTTTTCCTCCTCTCTGCAGCCATCAGTATTATCTTCTTCCTCTTCCTCATCACCGCCATCATCGTAGTTATGTTCACCATCATTATTACCCTTATCACCATTCCCCGTGTTGTCTTTCTTTTTCCGACCAACTAACGTCCCACCGTGAAGCTGGGATAAAATGAAGTCATCGACATCTTTATCGGCCTTGGCACGGTCGCAACCGGCAGTGTCGTCACCTTCGGTCACTAGGTTCTTCAACTTTGACTTGACCTCGTTGTTTTCGCTCTCCAACTGTTCGATGATCACCTCCTTCACTTTGACGGCACATCTCAGCTGTTCGATTATCCTGCAAAAAATTGTGAATTGCACAGGTGAGTTGGGGTTGAAATAAAATGATTAAGATGACGATGGTTGTCTCAATGGTGATGATCAGTTTCACAGGCATCAACATATCTCATTACACTGTTGTTAATAACAATAATAACGGCATGATGTTAACAATACATTCATACTTAGACAAAATAGAAAAAACTTCTTAACAGGAAAAGACAAAGAAAACTACCTCAATGAATGGTTGTAATAATGACTGAATAAAGAAATACAAATTTTATAAACTGGTTTGTATGTTTGTCACGGGATAGCAGAAAAATGTCTCAAAATCTTTGAAAATGATAATAAATTATTTTAATAAGCAAGACAGGACATACTTGTCTTTGGAGTTGAGTTCTAAATGGTGAGAATTTCTCCTACCCCCATCTTCTCCACCACCACCACCACCACCGCCGCCGCCGCCACCACTATTATTATTGACCACAACAAACAATGACGATGACAGATGATGACTCTTTGGTGATGATGATGACAATGATGGTGACGATGGGGGAGGGGACGGAGGAACAGCATGATGAAGAAGAAGAGGAGGAGGAGGGGAGGAAAACATCCTTGCTGCTTCATCTACAGTGGCAGTATCCTTAGCAGTTTGGAGCTGTTGGAGTGATTCATTTAATATCCTTATCTTTTCATTCAGTTCTTTCAGTTGATCATTATCAGATTTTAGATGAACATTCTCCTTCTTCAGCAGTTCACAATCTTCTGACAACTTGATCATCTTGGCGTCCGCAGCTGACAAGTCATTCGTCAATTTTTTCATGTCCTATGAAAAAGTTAATATTATATTCTTGATATAATTAACAAAATTAACAGCAAACTAAATAACAAATAATTGTATAAAAAAAAATCAGAGATCAATGAAACATACAAATCAGTGGCTACACAGCTGATCATTCAGCTAGCCTATCACCAAATTAACAATAAAATCAACTGACACCTAATCAATGAAGTAGCTGTTCTACCAAGCCAGCAAATACTGACTCATGAAGTAATCTGATGAACATACAAACACATCTTATCAATAAACGATTGACACACACACACACGCACACAAACACACACACTCACACATACATGTATACACACACACACACACACACACACACACACACACACACACACACACCATACTCACACATACCTCGTCCTTCAACTCCAGCAACTGTTCCAGCATTTCAATCTTACTCTTCAACTCTTCTCTATCCACTCTCCATTTCACCATTTCCTTCTCTCTAAACATCATCTTCTCACTTTCATGTGTCACCATGATGCTTTCCAAGGCTGACCTTCAAGATAGGATAATTAACTTCGTGCAACTATATGACTACAAACCGGATATTAATTTTTTTTATCAAATAATAGAAAATAAAACAAATAGATGATGATTATTATTATTATTAGTGTGTTTGCAAGCGCCCTTTAAAAAGCTTTCAGAGGTGCTAACAATTATTGCAGTACATTGCGTAGCACTATATTGAAGCAATGCAGTGAATGGGGAAAAAAGATTCTTTGATGATTAATAAATGAATGAATGATTTAATGAATGAGTGAATAAATAACTAATTAGTGCATTACAGGGTTTTTTTTATTTATATTTCTTCAAATATTCATCAATTACAATATTTTTTAATTTCCACAAACATTTTTTACTTGTTCATTACTATCAGGCAAGTCTGTTAGGAGACTAGGATAATACAGTTTGATTTGATCCAATGGAAATTGGATTATGATGGAGCATTACATGAAGTGAAACTGTTACAGAAAATAACACACACACACACTCACACACGCCTATTTTAATGACTCATACATACAACTAAATCATTACAGCAAATTACAAACGAGAACCAAAATCAAAGTATTGATAAATAAATATTATTAAGAAGGAAAAAGATCTCCACTAACGAAGCCTTCATCAGAAGTTCCTGCTTGTCGACGAGGTCCTTCTTCAAACTTTCCAACTCTACTTTCAGCTCGATGTTCTGTGCCAGCCAAGTGTAGTAGTGAAACAACATAGGGAAGAATATGAATATAATATGAATAACATAAGAAAAAATATATATCTTTTATAATATATTTATATTTACATTAACTAAGTGCACATAATTACCATCATCTTCATTGTCATCAACCCCATGAACGAGTCAGAGAAGAACAAAAAAAGTAATAGAAACTCTTACGAAATTAATTTTTTTAAAATTTTACAAACCATAAAAATATGCAAGCAAAAAAGGCGGTTGTAGTAGTGTGGTAATATTAGTAGTAGTAGTAGTAGTAGTAGTAGTATAGTAGTAGTTGCAATAGTAGTAGCAGCCACAGTAGTAGTTGAGGTAGTAGTAGTAGTTGCAGTAGTTGTAGTTGTAGAAGCTAGTAGTAGTAGTAGATTATAAAAATTTGTAAAATAAAATTTTGTTAGTTAACAATATTAACAGACATGAAATAATAATAACCAAAGAACTAGAAAAAAAAAACCAAAGAACTAAAAATATAATAACCAAAGAACTAAAAAGATATTAACCAAAGAGCTAACATAATAATAAAAAACCAAAGAACTGAAAAAAATTTGGTTAACGCACGATCTGATAAATATCCTGCTCTTCTCCGTTGTGATATTTCTTTGCATTCTCTTCCAGGAAGTAAATTCTCAGCTTCAAGTTGAAGTTCTCCTTCTGTAAATCAGCTATTTGCTGGAGATGAAGGAAAAAATATAATAAATTAATTAACAAATAAATATATAAATAAAATATATAAATAAAATAAATAAATGAATACTAAAATAATAAACAACAAATTCATCATTAATTCAAATTAATATCTTATTGATTTTAATAAATCGTGAAAAAAACCTTAAACTAGTGTTCAGATAATAGGGAAGATTAATGAAAAAAAAACTATCTAGCTAGCACTACACATTTGTCAGATTTTATAAACTATTTTAGAAATAAATAAACAACAATATATATATATATATAACTAAATTATATTATATATAACTGAATTGCATTATTATATTATATATAATTAAAAATATACAAAAATTTATACAAAAATAAATATCAGGCCCAAATAAGCAGACATTATTTGAATGGTTCTACATTTCATCATCACCCAATGGTATGGCAAAAAACAGAACAGCAGGTGCGTAGCAGATATAAAATGGGTCAAGTTTATAACTATAATTGTTTAATTCATTCCACCATTGAGCACAAGGGTTATGTGTGCATACTTATAATTTAATTTACACCCTATGACAGCAAAAAATTGAAATGGAAATGTAACAAATTAAAAACGAAAAACAAACTCCCAATCATTTTTAACACAGAGCCATCTAATAACCTGAAGAAAAAAAACAACCAGTAAAGAACAACACCTGAGAGAGAAACAGAGAAAGAGAGAGAAAAAGAGGGAGGAAGAGAAGAATAGAGAACTAAGTAACAAAAAATGAATAAATGAAGAGTACCAGTACCACACAACCTGATCGTATTCCTTCATGGTCCGCACTCTGATGGGAGTCGTACGACCACTGTCGATGTCTATGTCCACAGGCAAAACTATTTTTTAAAAAATTTTCTAACTTTAACAAACATTTGTTACTGAATAATTTTAACAACAACGGCAACAATAATAATAATACATTCATTTAAAAGACTTGTTTATGACTCAGTTTTGAAAATATTATCTGAAAATAAAAAAAGAAATAAGAAACATAACAATACCATTTTCTGGAGAGGTAAACAAACCAGTGGAATGAAGTCTAAATTGAAATAATAAGTAAATTATAAAAACATATCTATAATTATGATATAAATAATATATATGTAAAAATAAAATACATACTTATAATATATACACAACACATTTCCATACATATATTATATTATTAAATTAATTTAATACAATCATTATTAACACACACACACACACACTTTTTCCAAAATGAAAAAATTCAAACCAAAGCAACAAGCAAGAAAAACGAGTGGGTTGATCATTGAATTAAGATTTGAATTGTTGATAATGATAAACAGATAAATGAATTAGTTTATGCTTAATTAATTAATTTATATTTAATTATCTAAAAAATTATAAATTGGTATTTATTTGAAGTGCAGATTGGGGAGAAACCTGTCATTGGCCGTTATGGAATGATCGGCCAAAAAATCATTCAGATTAAAATCTTCTTTTTCAGCCATTTTCCTAACAAATTCTTAACGACATTTAATTTAATTTAAAACAGAAAAACAAAAACCATCCCAACAATCTCAATCACAAAAATTTTCAAATTCAAAACAACAGCAAGAATGTGCGTTTACTTATTCGTTAATATTTTTTCGCACTGTAAAGCGCCTAACAAACTATTCAAATTTTTTAACATCGTGTGCTAAGTTATTAGAAACAAATTATTTCAAAAGTTAGTTATATTTTTAATAATTTTTTTTTAAATATTACAATGCTTCATTAAAATGAAGAAAGAGAGAGTGATTGAGTGAAAAGTGAAGATGCTCACCCTCACTTTCATCTTCACTCTCTCACCTTTCTTCTGCGTAGTGGTGTAACTTTAATTAAACTAAAGTTTTCTTTTTCCATCCACGTAGTGTTGGTGATGCTGACGACGATGTGGTGCGCCTAAACTAAAATAACATCCTTTCTTCTTAACGTGGGAGAAAATTCTGGAGCTTTGTTTCAAAATAATGTCTGATTTAAATTGTTTTTTAGAAAAAATTAAAGTATTACCTCATCAAAAATCACAAGCAAATTCAAAAGCTGTCGGCTTGTTCTTCACATCATCAATTTTTATAATAATTTCACTAATTTTAATTGGGTTACTACCAACAACATGCCAATCAGCAGAGGAGATATGGCCTGCCTCATCAACTGCCCCAAGTGTTATGATTGCAATTCTGTTGCGTAACAAGGCCCACACCCTGCCATGGTTCCTGCATTATCTTGAGAAGTTAGACTATCCTAAAAACAGGATAAGACTCTGGTTAGAAATGTTTGATAGCATTACATTACAATATCACATTAAAAACCTCAAAGGCTAGTTTTATTTGGTTGATTAATGTTTTTATATATAGTTTTTTTATACTAGCATGTTTTACCTGCCTTATTTGCAAATAAATAAGGGCTAAATAAAACGATTCAATATTTTAAGTAAAACAAATTTATTGCTTTTTTAATTTATTTTAGGATCAGAAGCGACCACAATGTTGACAATTCAGTCTCCATGATGAAGAAGTGGTTGGGAAGAGTTCAAAGCCAATACAACAAAGTGGATTTCGTTGATGACGACTCAGAAATCAGTAGGAGTCTTGAATCTTTATCGATATTAATTTTTGTTATTTCATTTTTAAATAATTTATTTGTCAGCATTAAAATTAATAATGCACTCGCTTTTGCAGTATACTGATCTGTTTTTTGCAGTATACCTATCTGTATCATGCAGTAGCGGATCTGGGGGGGGGGGTGGAGCCGAGCCCATTGTGAGCAGTTTTTTAATAAAAGAAAAAGGAACGTTTTTATACGTAAAACTGATCAAAAATTGAATGTAATAAGCAAAAAAAAGGTTGTCAGCCACATTACCACAAATCTCGTCTCCCCATGAAAATTTAAACATTTTCAAATTTTTGGCCCCCCATCAAAGTTGTTTAGATGCACCACTGATATTATGTAAGAATAATTATTTTTACATAGATTCCATAAAAATGCTATTCTCTTAGATTACCCTGATGCCTATGGACCCTACCATTGGTCAAAAAAACGGGTCAGCAATATTTTGAGATTGAGGCAGGAAGCTCTCAACTCAGCCCGGAATACATGGACTGATTTTCTATTGGTTGGCTAATTATAATGTTACACTGTAAAATGCTAATCTGATTTCTTATCAGTTGGCTAATTATAATATTATAACAATAAGTGTCAGTTTGATTTCTTATTGGTTAACTTATTTTAATATTATAATGTAAATTTTTATTAGTTGACTAATTGTTATAACATAAATAATTTGAAAACTTAATCTGATTCATAGTTGAATTCATTAAATTAATCAGATTTGCTGTGGGTTGGATAGTTATTGTTAAATAATTCAAAATGGTAATTTAGTTTACTAACAATGGTTGGCTAATATAACATTATAGAGGGTTTCAATTTAGTAATGGTTTCAAAAAACTGAAAGAAGATGGTAATCACAATATTATTTATTAATATTAATTGGAATATTAATATTATGTAATTATTAACATTGATAAGTTACAATAAGGCCAACCAAGAAATGTAATTTATTTTTTGACTGGTTCAATTTATCAGTTTGTGGATGCTGATAACTTTCTACTGAATGATCAAGTTTTGAAAGAACTGATGAGACATGACAAGTTTGTTGGATTATTATTATTATTATTACTATTATCAAGTGAAATGTAATAATAAGGAGAGTTTTTTGAATAAAAAAATTTTGTTTTTTCCATGTTATTGTTAATAAATTTAATTAAATAAGATTTATTTTGTCATCACGTGAAAAATATAACTTTTTGCCTTTTTATTCATTAGCCATTAGCGTATGATAGTAAATTGAAAATCGTGCGTTCCGCCTACATTCTTGTTATCACGTTTACGTGTTTGATTCCATCTTGACCATACTCTCACTAACTTCTAACTAATACTATCACTAACTAATACTATCACTAACTAATACTATCACCATTATCATCTATTATCAACCAGTGTTATCAACGCTCGTTTCCAAGGTAAACTAGATTTCAAAAGAACGCCATAGAAAACACAAAATTAATTTGTATTTGGCTACTTTCTTTTTCTTTTCAAAGTTATTTGTTATCAAAATTTATTCAAACAAATAGCAGGTAGTTAAATGCTCCCAAAATTTTTTCAAACTACGTTCTGTGGTTTTTTTTATTATTTCTACCCAACGTCATAATGTATCCGGAAGCGTGACGCATTTTTTGGCAATGACTCGATCAATTTTTTGAAATTTTGATAAAAAAAATAAACATTAGAAGTCCTCTATTGCACGTATATGCCACTCAAATTGTCCCATAGCGGTTGCTGTAGTCTTCTTGTTGTTTGATATCCAACGTCGAAATGTGGGTGACGAGCGTTAATTATAAAAACTAATTTTTTGCTCGTGTTTTATTTGACAAAATCTTATATATAAGAGGAAAAAGGAAATTATTAAGAATGCAACTGAATGACGAATGTATATTAAAAATTGAATTAATTTTAGTATTTTAATTTAGAAATAAATTGTCGATGACTGCAAAACGAAAGGACTTCTATAATGTCATCTATAATGTTATAACGTCATTCATCCCAATTCAATGCTCATGAAAGAATATAAGGAAAATATTATAGTTGTCGTAAATGAAGCCACAGCGCTTAAAATGCAGCCGCAGCGCGTGAGGAAGTCGAAGCGCTATGCACAACTACTACTACTACTACTACTACTACTACTACTACTACTACTACTACTACTACTACTACTACTACTACTATACTACTACTACTGATATAGATGTTAAGTTTTTTGAAATAATGAGACTTAAAAGAATGATGCAATGATTTGTTGCTGACATACGCATCACTCATCCATGCATCCAGACCAATCATAAGCCCAATGATGAACGTTACCGCGTCTGATTACTACTCCAATTTCTGGGGGGATGTTGCTCCGAATGTTAGTTTGTATTGTATGTATGCATGTATATATGTTTGTTTGTATTGATTGTATGCTTGCTTTATGTGGGTTGTATGTGTTTTTGTTAGTGTGTTTTTTTAATTTTATGTTTGTTTCTGCTGTGTGTATTTGTAAATGTTGGTTGTATGATTGTTTTTTTGTAGGTTAGCTTACCTTGCATGTTTGTTTTTGTTGGTTGTTTGTGTTGTATGTTCTTATTGAATTGAAACAATACCCAATAGCAACAATACCAGCGACAACACCATTACAGCACGTAAAAACAACACACCTGCATCATGAACATCACTCACACAGGGCTACTACAAGCGCTCAGATGACTACGAAGACATCTTACACAAAGTTAAAACAGGAGCCTTCCAAGTGCCAGTAGTGCATTCAACGATGCTCATACAGACCAGACTGCAGATCACCAACTCCCTGGCCTACGACCCACCACCTCCTAACTATGAAGGGCCCATTGATGACATCATCATCTTCGCTTTCAGTGCCAGATACCATAAGGTGGCCCTTAGTTTGTTCATGTTGATGAAACTTTTGGTTTTTACTTTTAATTCTTTGCTTTCTAACCGAAATTATTTTCTAAACTCTTAAATATCTTTAAACCAAGCTGCTGAATGGCTTATCAAACGGTGTGATCTCACAATTTTTTACGTTGTTACTCTGATGTATAATTTCGAAAAATTTCAAAATAATTAAACAGATAATTAGAATTATTTGTTATTCATTCCCCCCACACACGCACACATTAAGATGCACACACACACACACGCACACACACGCACACATACACAAACCTATCAGGTACCAATGTACATATTAAACGAGAACTTCTATGGCATGATGCTTATTCCACTTGGAGATGAAGACACCATTGAAGATGAGAAGGAACAGTTCTTACACATGAAACTCCAGGCTATTGGTACTTTTCGTTAATTAATTAATTAATTAATGCATACACACACAGAGACACATGTACACACATATTCTGTACACTTTTTATATAAAATTGTCAAAATTATTTAGAAGAGTTGATAAAAAACCTAAATTCTTTTCATCATTTTTTTCATTTCATGACGGGTCTTCTACCTGAGATTTAGGAACATTGATTAATCCCTTCTTACATTTGTATTTGTATTTTTGTGTTATAGTTGATTCGCGACATTCCCACATTACGTTTTTGTTTCATATTTGTATTGGAGTATGAAAGTTAAAATTTTTAACTAACTGACCAACCAACCAATCGACCAACCAACCAACCAACCAACCAACCAAACAACCAACCAACCAATCAACCACTCGACCAACCAACCAATCGACCAACCAACCAATCGACCGACCAACCGACTGTAGTTGATGACGTGACCCTCGAGAAACTCCCCTACCTGGATGCCCCTGCACGTCCCCCCGATAAATTGGGATTTGATGAGGTGGGTGGGTGTGTGATAATTTTTTTTCTTCGTTTTGAATGTTGCTGCTGCATAATTGATTATTACAGTGTTTCTTGTTAATTGTGCTGAGAATTTAATTGCTCTTATCTGTTTTTTTTAATGTTAACATTGATTTCACTAGCAATAATGATGTTACTACTACTACCTCTGCTGCTGCACCTACTACTGCCGCTACTCTTATTACTACTACTACTACTACAACTACCATAATGAAATGATAATAATTATTAGCATCAACACTCGCATCTTTTTATGTCAACACCTAACAGATAATTTTGTTTGGTATTTACATATAAATTTGAACTAGAGTAAATGACGTATGGCGACTTTAAATTAAACAAATGGATTATTATCTACACCTCTTAAATAAACCTTCATAGTTTTACTATTCAATTTCCTTCCATTTAACCACGGTTTAGATATCTTTATTATTAGTTTATATTGGGAGGCGATAAGATTATGGTTTGTTAAGAGTGGAAAACCTTTCCTGACCTTCCTGTCCATCACGTGATACGTTGAATAACATTTACTTACATGCCCTGTCTGTCTGTCTGTCCGTGTCGCTGATTTTATTGTTAATTCTATTGTTAGTTCTTTCTTAATTAAGCATCAGAGGTATAAGCAACACCAGTGACGCAGTCGGGCGGCGATTGATTTGGTGTAGTGGTTAGAACGCCCGGTTCTGCTGTTGCGGTGACTGGATTCGAATACAAAAAGATCCTCGACAATCACGTGGATTCACGCTTGTTTACTTGTGCTCTCCCCCCCCCCCTCTCTCTCTCTCTCTCTCTCTCTCTCTCTCTTTCTCTCCCTTTCTGTGTTTGTGTGTGTGTGGTGTGTGTGTGTGTTGTTAATACCTCTGATGTTTAATTAAGAAATACTAAGTAATAATAATGATAATAAAATATTCAATTTCTCATTAAGATATTCATGATCAACCTCGTTCGAAGACCAGAAAGGAGAGACAAAATGATCCGATGTTTCAAGGAACTTGGCATCAACGCCACCATCTTTGATGCTGTGGATGGCAAGTAAATAATATATTCACATAAATTTGCATAATTTATTATTGTCATTGTTTACTGCTTTGGATATAAATAATAATATTAGGCATAAATTTGCATAATGAACTGCCAATTAATAAACGTTATATGAATAAATTATGTTAATCAAACAGGCAGTTAAATGATAGTTTCCTGAATAGTTGGAATGTGAAAGTGCTGAAGTCTTATGCTGATCCATATCATGGAACGTTAGTGATGGAGTTGAAGTTGCATGATGTTGTGCTGATGTTGCATGTTGTTGTGTTGATGTTGCATGTTGTTGTGTTGATGTTGCATGTTGTTGTGTTGATGTTGCATGTTGTTGTGTTGATGTTGCATGTTGTTGTGTTGATGTTGCATGTTGTTGTGTTGATGTTGCATGTTGTTGTGTTGATGTTGCATGTTGTTGTGTTGATGTTGCCTGTTGTTAATGTTGCATGTTGCTGTCATGTTGTTGTGTTGATGTTGCATGTTGTTGTGTTGATGTTGAATGTTGATTTTGCATGTTGTTGTGTTGATGTTGCATGTTGCTGTCATGCTGTTGTGTTGATGTTGCATGTTGATGTTGCATGTTGTTGTGTTGATGTTGCATGTTGATGTTGCATGTTGTTGTGTTGATGTTGCATGTTGCTGTCATGTTGTTGTGTTGATGTTGCATGTTGTTGATTTTGATGTCATGTTGTTGTGTTCATGTTGCTGTCATGTTGTTGTGTTGTTGTTGTCGACGTGATTTCTCATTTTTACCTTTTAAACCATCATAATTATCTGTAAAATCCCAATATCACTTTCGTTATCATAATCGTTGGCATCATTACCATCGTCGTCATCATCATTATCATCATCTTAGTTATTGCCATCATCGCCATTGTAATCATCGCCGTCAGAACCACCATTATTATCATCATCCATCGTCTTCTCATCATTATCGAAACATAGACGGACACTGACAATGGGTGAGATCGGATGCTTCCTTAGTCACTACTTCATATGGTTACAAGTTAGATACATACGCACATCAACATTCATCATCACTTTATTATCATTATTATTATTATTATTATTATTATTATTATTATCATCATTATTATTATTATTATCATGTTTATTATTATTTTATATTTATGAGTTACTTAACCTTGATGCTTTTGTGTGTGTATATGTGGGCGTGTCCGTGTGTGTGTTGTGTGTGTATGTGTGTGTGTGTGTGTGTGTGTGTATGAGTGTGTTTGCACATGTAAACATGCAACGATTAAGTAGTACATGTATTGTTAGTTGATCATAAGTGAGAGTGGTCTTCAATCGTTTTGTTAACAATAACAATAATTAAAAATTAAATTATTTTTTGTTATTATAAAATAAAAAATACAAAAGTAAAATAATTAAATGCTCATGCTTGCATGCAAATTGATGGCCTAGTGGTTAAGGTCGCCTGGTGCTGTTTCGCAGTACGTGCAGTGGCCAGGTTCGAGTCTGACAAAAAGATGCCCGCCTCTCAATGCTTCGTGTGTGATGCGTCGTTTAGTTAGCACGTATTCATATACGCTGTTTGTGTGTTGTTGACTTCTCTGAACCTAGGAAGAGTGCAGCAGACCTTTAACCTTAAAATACAATTTTTGGACGTAGGTGGTGAACAGGAACCTCTCAAAGGTGATCATATTCGAAGATGATGTGAGGTTCTCAAGAGACTTCAGGGGTAAGTTGAAGGCAGTTATGAGTGACATCGACAAGATGGAAATACCGTGGGATCTGTTGTTAGTTTCTTCGCCTCTCTATGTTGTGATTGTTAGATTGCTTTTGTATGGGTTATCTGTTAATTTATTATTTATTTTTCAAGTCACTATTTAAAGTTTTCATTTTTTATTACAAATTTCTTTCACTGATGAAGTTTTTAAAGATTATTCTCAAACGCAAAATTCTAATTAACCATTTTACGAAACTCAGATATTTAGGTCGCAAGAAGTTATTTGAAGATGGAGAGCCATTTGTGGGCGATAGTGAAACCCTAGTCTGGCCTCTCTACTCTTATTGGACAATAGGCTATGCATTGTCTTATGCAGGGGCATTCAAGTTGGTGCATGAAGATCCACTGCCCAAGATGGTTCCTGTCGATGAATACCTCCCAATCATGTTCGACAACCACCCGAGGTATGATGGTGACTGTTCAATTTTTTTCTTTTTTTTTTCCTGAAACTTTTTATTGTAGCCTATGATTGCAACAGTTTCTGCTAATTTGGGTTGTAATTCATTGAAAAACTCATTATGAATCTGATGTTTAGAAACATCTGATGGTATGTAGAATTTCAACGTTAAAAACCACACAAGGGAAGACTGGCAAGAACATTTTGAGAACAGAAACCTGGTAGCCCTCTCAACATTTCCTCTCCTCATCGAGCCAACCCTGTATACAGGTGAGCCTGGATACTTCACTGACACCGAAGACTCCCCAACTGTTGATGTTGTGGTGCCCGAAGTTGGTCCGAATGCCCCATTCGACACCAACCATCCTGACAGTAACGAAAATGATAGCAACAATAACAACCAGTGTGCTAATATGGATAAGTTGAAGGGTGATATGGATTGGATTGATGATGTAAGACAATCTCTAGAGTCGAAAAATGAATTATAAAGTTCGGCATGTTGATGTTTTGTTTATATGCGCCAGTTAGGTTTTACATTCTACGAAATATTTTGTTGACGGTGAACGTTTCATGAATAACATATCAGTATTATTTTTGAAAGATCTTACTAATCTCATTCGCGTCCCTCATAATTTTATGCATACTACATGTCAACATTTTCTGAACTATGCATGACAGATGCGCTTGCCATATTTGTGACATCATGATCGTAAATTTTGTAATTCAGCTCCTCTTTGTGGTGCTACTTTCATTTTACTGAGTGATAAGCAATAAAATGTTTGCCGGTTTTGGCTTTTAAACGTTTTGATTTTAAAACTAAAAGCCTAATTTTGTTTTATTGTTTGTTAGTGTTGGAGGGGATATCGTTTGTTGTAGCAAAAGTTCCCGTCGTTGTCAAAGTAGTAGTTGTCAAAGTAGTAGAAGCCCTAATAACAAAACAATTGTACCTGTTGTAGACTGGTGTTAGTTGTAGTGGTGGTGTTTGTTCGGGAACCACACGCCCGACTAAGCGCTGAACGTAGATCATGCAACATAGCTAGATATGTGTTTACATATAAAATGTTAAACAGTTTACGTTCAGAATGCCTGCATTAAATCCCAAGTACATTGCGCGCCAGTTGACTCAGATTCTAGAACCTACACACCTTATGTAAGTTTCGGCGGAATGTTTCATGTCAGTTTATATACTCAAACAATTATCAACCTTATGCACTGTATAGTTTTTTTTATTGTCTCGTACCTTATATTCTTGTTGCATGTTGGTCTGGTTCAAATTCTTTCTAGGCAAAATTATCGCGATGAATGAACTCTATAAAGCTACATAGTATTATTTAATAAGTAAAGTTAGATATCGGATAAGTTTAGTTCATCCTTAAACTTATTAAAAGTACAGTAATTGTATATAGGCCTTTATATATTTTTAATTATATATTTCTACGGGCATATTGAAAATTAAAGAAATCATCAAACCATACATTTGTTAAATTTTTTTATAAATAGCTTGGCTATGTTTGGATTGTATAACCATGTTTTTTGAATATACCAGCATAACGATAAGTAGGTAAATAAGTGTTCTCTTAATAAGTGAAACATGCAGTGACACCCGCCTGTGATGTTTTTATCTCTTCACGAATAATGCCTAATTTCAGATTTTATGATCCATAACTTGTCTAATATATACATATATTAATGCTTTTATATAAATATATGAAAATAAATATATATATATTAATTATTATTATATTACATATATTATAAACATATATATTATTTGTTAAAAAATGAATTTTTATTATTATTTATCGTTGTTTTAAATTCATTTAAATATTGTTTGATAATGATACAAATGATAATAATGTGGCGATTTATATAGCGCGCAGTAGCTTCAGAGCGGCTTTTAATTTGTGTGGCGCTCTAGTTCGTGGAGCGTCAGTTTGCCGACTCCAAATGTTTCGTGTAACGTTCATTGAGTAGTTGAAAGTACGGAAGAAGAGATGTGCAGATTGGAGAGTAATTATCACAAAGTTGGTTTCGTTTGATATGATTAAATTTAATTAAAATGAAACAAATATTGGAAGCAAGTAAATATGCATGGTTCAAGTTTATTTCCGAGCCTAGGTAACCAATAAAATATTGTCTGTCAAGATGACACGTGGAAACAAAGGCAGACGATCATCCAATTAAGTTAATTGACTCGGCCGAGATCAAACGAGCTTTGATCTTTTCGTGAAAATTTTTTGAAGTTGACATCAAAGTAACACTTTTCAAGTTTTCTTACACTTTCTATAGATCAAAGAAGTTAATTTGTCAAAAATTTTCGAAAGAACTTTACGTCAATGCGGCTACAAATCTATATAAGTGAGTTGATGAGAAAGGACATTCATTCACCCTTGGTAACTTGACCAGACAACATCCAGCGTTTAATAAATTATTATTATTTGACGATTTACAGAAAATAAATAAATCAATACAAAATGAATCAACAACCAACCATTTCAATATGTAGCAGTAGTAACAACCACAATAGTACAAGCCATAGCCTGGATACTAATAGGAACATGAACACAAACACACAATTCAGCAAACAGCCAACTAACAATTTTAACCATAATAATTTTTCAAACTTCAATACAAACATTCATGACAATCAAAATCTTGATAAATATTCACAACGGCAAAATTTCAATCGGCAATATTTCAATAACCAAAATTTTCATTACCAGACATATAATCAACAACAACATTTCAATCAGCAACATTTCAATCAGAAAATATGCAAAGACCAATCTTTAAATGGAAGTATTTTCAGTGCAGAACAACTGCATCAACAACAATTCAATCAACAAACGTTCCATAAGCAACCTTTCAATCATCAAAATTTCGGTCATCACTGTTTCAACCAACAACATTTCAACAAAAAACATTTTAACCAACAACATCTCAACCAACAACATTTCAATCATTACTGTTTCAACCAACAACATTTCAACCAACAAAATTTCAATCATCACTGTTTCGACCAACATAATTTCAATCAACCAAATTTCAGCCAACAACATTTCAACAGACAAAATTTCAGCCAGAGTAGCAACGCTTCAAATAATTTCTCCAGTTCTTATGGCGTTCTCAATCCAATGCTAACCACAGATGCAGCTCAGCCTGCCTCATTTTGCTCAGCCGATACTTATTCAAACATTAAAAACAACAACCAGTGTGTTAATCAAAATTCTAAAAACATCAACGAAAATGCTCATCAAAGTCTTTCTACCTCAAATTTCCAGCAGCCAGTAAATCCCTCAGCATCAACTTCAACCACTACCTCATCCGACCAAAATGTTTTTGCTGGTCAACAACAGACAACCTCAAATAAATCAACAAAAGTGGTTAAGAAAAGAGTCATTCTGTCGAAAGATAAAACAGGAATATTAAAAAATTACTACCAGAATAACTTCAACTTTCCCTATCCTGATTGGGAAACATGTGAATCCCTGGCCAGCCAGTGCGGAATTTCCGGCTCTCAAGTTAATAAGTGGTTCAGTAATAGGAGGAACAAGGACAAAAATACCAGGAATCTAACCGACATTGCTAATAGAAGAGAAAGAGGAGGCAATTGAATTTCACTCCGCCGAATTGTTTTGTAAATATTTCCAACATTTGTAATTATTTCTAACTTTTGTGAACATTTCCAACGTTTGTGAATATTTTATTTTATAAAATTTCAAAGATTATTATTTTTTATTTCATTCCACATTTTGTGAGAATTTTATGATAGTTTATACAACGATTAAAGTTTAAACTGTCTTTCCATTGTGAGTTATTGTTTTTTTTATTTTACACTGACATCTTATATTTTTTAAATGTTGTTGTTTTTTTATTAAGAAAATTCGTTTCGACCGTAATGAGAGTTTTATTGAATCCGATTAAAATGAGTTTATCGTAGTATTCAATTTTTTTAAGACTCAAAATTGTTTGGTAAATATTTGATCCTGCAAAATAGCAATAAAATTCTGGCTTCTTCTGCAAAGTCGGGTTCCTTCCAGTCAGTGGCGGATTAAACTTTTTGCCGCCTAAAGGCACTCGAAATTTGCCGCCCAATTTTTTAATAGTTAAAGAGAATAAAATTTAAATAAAAGCAATATTTAAATATACGTTTTTATTTGGTACTTACTTTTATAATAGTTATGCGATGCAATGTTTGAATATAATGCATTTGCATTAAACAGTCTATAAAGTAAAGTTATTTGAAAATTTAATGACGTGTTTTTTTGCGCGTAAACTTTTCAATAATAAAATTAAGGTCCAATTCTTGCAAAATTGTTGTTCCAATGCCCAGGATTGAAAGGAAGTTTAGTCTTTCTTTCAACATTGTTGAACGCAAATAATTTTTAAGCGCTTCAAACAAGACCGCTCAAGTGTACGTCCTGACATAATTCCTTAGATTTTTACAAAGCCATTTTCGTACTGTTCTAGAAGTGTTTTTAAAGTTTAGCTAGAGATAGAATATTTTTCTGCATTCAAAACCAATCAGTGTAACACAAGAACGAGCGCATCTTAAATTTAGAATGAAAATGGTTGGTAATAGTTCAGGCTCACTTTTGAGACGAGGCAACCGATAAAATATCCTCTGTCTATTTTGCACCAGGAAACAAAGCAGACGATCATCCAATTAAGTTAATGAGCTCGGTCGAGATCAAACACGCTTTGATCTTTTGCGAAATTTCTGTGAAGTTGACATTAAAGTGACATTTGTTCAAGTTTGCTTACACTTTATATAGATCAAAGAAGTTATATGGTAAAAACTTTTGAAAAAGACTAAAAATCAATGAAGCTACAAGTCTATAAAAGTAGGGAAGGACATTCATTCAACATTGGCGACTCGACCTGACAACATCCAGCGTTTGAGAAATTATTAATATTTGACAAACCAGAGTAAATACAAGCAAAACTTTACAAAACGAGTCAACAGCTAACCATTGCAAACAGTAGCAGAAGTAACAACTAAAATTATCTGAACACACCCTAAGATATATCATCTCCAGAGTCAAGTGGAAACAAGCCTGGTTATTATTAGGAAAATGAATACAAACACGCAATTCATCAATCGGCCAACAAACAATTTCAACCACAACAATTTTTCAAATTCCGATTCAAATATTCATGACAATCAAGATTTTGATAAATATTCACATCGACAAAATTTCAATCGGCAATATTTTAATAACCCACATTTTCTTTACCAGGCATATAACCAACAACATCCATTCAATTATAGTTTCAATCAACAACAATCCAATTGTCCAAATTTCAATCAGCAACATTTCAACCAGCATATATACAACGATCAATCTTTAAATGGATGTTTTTTCAGAGCAGATCAACTGCATAAACAACAACCCTATCAACAAATGTTTAACAAGAAACATTTTAACCATAAACATTTCAGTTATCCATATTTTAGTCAACTACACTCCAACCAACAACATTTTAACCAAAGCCAACAACACATCAACCAACAACATTTCAACCAACAACATTTCAACCAACAACATTTCAACCAAAGCCAACAACACTTCAACCAACAACATTTCAACCAACAACATTTCAATGAGAATAACAATGCTTTAAATAATTTTTCCAGTTTTTATGGCACTCACAGATCAACACCTATCACAGACGCAGGTCAGCCTTCCTCATTTTGCTCACCCGAAACTAATTCAAACATTAAAAACAACAACCAGTTTGTTAATCAAAACTCTCAAAACATCAACGAAAAGGCTCATCAAAGTTTTTCTACCTCAAATTTCCAGCAGCCAGTAAATTCCTCAACATCAACTTCAACCTCTACATCATCCGGCCAGAATGTTTTTGCTGGTCAACAACAGACAACCTCAAATAAATCAACAAAAGTGGTTAAAAAAAGAGCCATTCTGTCGAAAGATAAAACAGGAATTTTAAAGAATTACTACCAGAATAACTTCAACTTTCCCTATCCTGATTGGGAAACATGTGAGTCCCTGGCCAGCCAGTGCGGAATTTCCAGCCCTCAAGTTAATAAGTGGTTCAGCAATAGAAGGAACAAGGACAAAAATACCAGGAATCTAACCGACATTGCTAATAGGAGGGGAAGAGGAGGCAACTAACTTTCACTCTGCTGAATTGTATTGTAAATATTTCTAACTTTTGTGAACATTTTCAACATTTGTAAATATTTCCAACATTTGTGAATATTTTCAAACAAGAACTTTTTTATCTTAAATTTTACCGAGACTAATTAATTTTATTTAATATTATAAGTTTTAAATTTTGTGAGACATTTTCATTTTTTGTGAAATTTTATATAACGATCAAAATATGATATAATTCAATTTTTAAATATTGTTTTATCGATATTTTAAATTGTGTTAACCTTTATTGACCTCTAATGTGCAATCAATTAATGTTGGTTTGTACCAAAAAATTGGTTCTGACTCAGAAAAGAATCAAATTTATTTACGCTATCGGTGCTAAAATTTTTACGGAAAATTGTTTGTAATCACTAAACGTCGCTAAATACTTTAAACTCATCATTCACAATAATCATAAGAGAATAACATCGTCTCAGGACATCCACCAGTCACTCGCAGCAATCATTTAAAAATATCAGGCATCACGTTCGTCTCCAAACTTTGCACTGCGTCTCATTTGAACCACACCATCACCAAAAGAATTAAAACTTTTCATGCACTCTTAACACTTCGCTCACATGGTCTCAGAGGTATCAAATTTTTTGACATCATTGAATCATTCATCATCTCGCACGTCAAATATGCAGCTCCCTCATGGACTGGTTTTAACAACTACAATCTCTCACCAAAAAAGCTAATTCTCCTCAACTATCTACCTACACCATATCTTACCGTCACTCAAATAATCAAAACTCGAATCAAGATTTTTCAAAAAAGTAAAAATTAATACTAACCACGTCATCCGTTCTCTATTTAAACAAAGCCCCACAACCTTTCTTAACGTGAACTCAACTATCAAGTCGTCACTCGATCAGCTTATCAGGATAAGACTTTCATCCCAGGACACCTATAAAATGCCTTTAAAATGTTGAAATTATAAAAATTTTATTTTTGGAATGCCGGACGTTTTCGTTTCGTGTTGATTACATACCACTTTTCTTCGAAGTCCTCTATACAAACTGAACGGGCATTGTTTGAGAACTTGCTTTTTACAAAAAGGCAGACGATATATTTTATTATTTGCGCGTTTGAAACATAGCATAACGAGTTATGTTTAATGGCTGCGATGAAGTCTTCGTTCGTGTACAATGCTTCTCTCCCAACGAATTCCTTCGTAGATTTGAAAAGAAAAAGATGTTCATGGGCCAGTTTCATCATGTTATATTGTTGTTCGATGATTAACTCATGGTATCACGTATTATCACCTTCTGATATTTGATTGGACACATATCCCATTAATGCTTCAATATCCTCCAGTGAGATTTACTGCTCGTTGTTGCCGTTTTACTGATCCATTAGAGAGTGAGCGAATGTCTTCGTGATCAATGCTTCACCTTTGATGGCTTGTTTATCTAGGTAGTTTTAAACTAATTCCTCAATTTTTGTTTATTAGATCCATCTTCTCAGAATATTCACTCACAATTCGGTCCACATGTCGTTGAAATTACCATACACCTTTTTAAGTTATCGTGTACGATTGGGTCAATATTTTTCTGAATGAGATATTCTCCCACTATACGATCCACGTTCTGTTAGATGAGAGCCTGCCCGGTGAAATAGGCTTCCACAATTCAATCAACATTTTGTTGAACGAGTGCCTGTTTACTGAAATATTCGTATACATTCTGATCAATTTTTCGTTGATGAAACATTCTTTCATCGAAATAACTCATTTTTATGATTTTGAAAATATTGATATTGACGATATTGACATAACAAATCTGCCACAAATTTATCTAACCTCAAAATTTGTTTCCTTACAATGGAACGCAGACCTGTGAGTTAACACGCAAAGTTTGTTTAAATGCAACGTGTTTCTGAACGCACTAATTAATAAAAAAAATAACTCACAAATTTTTTCTGGCCGACCAATCAACTTCTCATTGGTGACACTTCTTATTGACAGCTCCCTTCTTATCAGAAACCAATAATTTTAGATTGATAATGTTGTTAACACATTAGCGTATATTTTCAACATTTCTGTGAGATTCCAACAGATATCATTTAAAAAATCTTTTCAAGATGTAAGTACGTCCTACCTCGGGAAAACTGGGTCTCTGGACGATAAACAAAGATTGATTGATTGATCATGATGTAAGTGATGAAATTTATCAGTCAAATGAGTTTTATTGGAACGAGTAATTGTAATAATAAATATTTAGTTCTTTTATATCTTTTAATGTTACTGCAAATATGAGGTGTAAATTTGTGAACTTTTGTGATATTGATAATGACGATCCTGTGCCGCAAAGTTATCTAACTCTCAAATTTTTTTACAATATTTGAACTTATTATCTAACAAATGTACGCAAACTTGTTTTATGGAGTCCGTTTGCATTATGCGTTTTAATTTATGTAGAAACATAAACATTTTTAACACAAGGATTTTGAACAACTTGTAAAGAAATGCAGAAAACAAACTTTATTAAATCAATTTATTGGTAAATAATATAACAATTAATGATTTTGAAGTTTTTAATTTCGAATAAATAAGCTTAACAAAATATGCAGTGTTCAAAATTAAACATTTAAAAAGGCAAGCCAGAAGTGAAGGTTCCTGTAAAGAAAAAGTGGTTAATAATTTAGTTTAGAATACTGAGTTTTTCTAATTTTGCCATATGAAATTCAAAATAGATTTAAAATATCGTTTTAATACAAAACCAAAGGTCATAATTAAGAAAGAAGTTGAGTTAATAACCTGCCACGCATTCCTGGCAGCCGCAAGATGTGTATTCGTAAATCTTAACTCGCTTACTTTCTGATCCACAGTTTACCTTAGTTGGAATAGATTTAAATTTAGTTGAGTACAACCTTTCTTGAAAAAAAATTATTCAATTCTTCTAAGAAAAATTTTAAAACGTCATTTACATCAAATAATTTCCATTCTCCAGTAAGTCCTCTGCAGCATTTGCACAATCCATGATGGACGAATGGATCCCCTCCCGCAGAGCTCTCTTCCAAGTAGATGGCGCTCTCGTCGAAACTGTCGCCACAACTTCCCCTGCAGGACGACATCAAAATGGCCTCATTCGACGTGCACACGCTTCCAACTTTCAGTGGAATGCTCAGGTTGACGTACTTGTGCTCAACAGAACATGTTTCAGTTGGAGTTGGCAATGTTGTTGCTGGTTTTTTTGTCGTGGTTCCTTCATTAATGAGTGTATGAATTTCTATCTAAGAATATTTTTAAATCATCAAATGAAACATCAAGAATGTTGTAATGTTAAATAAATTTGAACGTGGGAGAAACATTGTGAAGATTGTTCCTATGATTGTTTCTAAAAATATCACAACAAAGCTTCAGCGCATTTTCAAAAATTTCTTATTGCTACTATTCGCTATGTAAAAATATAAATATTAATATCATTTATTTAAGTAAATCAAGTATAAAAATTAGAGGTGACAGTAAAAACAGGTAACTAAAGGTCGGTTTTATAAAAAAATAAAGCTTGTAAGGTTTTTCAAATATTAACAGGTCTATTGTTTCATTTATCGAAAGCAAAAATGAAATGCCCAAAATTAAAAGATAAACATTTGTTTATAGGTCTGCTTCAACTCACCAATTCCGACGCACGAACAACAATCGGGATAGTCACCATGCAGCGCTTCATTCTGTCGAAAATAAATTGGAAAGCGTTTATTGACACAAAAAGTTTATTGTATATAATGTGGTGTGCGTTGTGACAAGTTGAGATCAGTTTCAAAAATGAAGAAATTGAAGGGTCGAATCATTTTTTGCTTTTGTTACTGAAAATTAATTTAGGCAAGTCAGCTTTAAACCTATAACTGATGATGCATGTATTAATAGACATAATAACATGGATATATATAATTGCACCATTTGATAAAAAATAAAATGGTTTTAAAAATTCCACTAACAGGTCCGCATTGACAGGCACTGCTTCTGTTAAAGACGACTTCATTACCCACAGCATCGCAGTACGAGACCAGACACGTCTCTTCGTTTGAGGTACTGTTCTTCAACTGGAGTTCGGGTAATGAAGTGATTATAAAATTACATCTAACTAATCATAAGTCGTTATAATTTCTAAAATTAACAATAATACCATAAATAATTTTATCATGATTTATGAATTTATGAAAAATATAAATCTGAACAATTACTGTGCAAGTGAACTCGTTGTTGTCATTACATGTGCTGTAAAATAACATTTTTAACATGTCAATATCTCAAGAAAATATATTTGAAATTTTTTTATTATTTCTGAAAAAATTAATAGCAAAAGACTACCATTGATAACATCTATTGACGATGACTTGAGCGTTTTTATCGATACTATCACCGTTGAATACGTATTCTTGATCACTCGTGGCTCCAGGTTCACCATCCTTTTCAATGAATCCAACGGCTCCATTCTTTTTCGATATGAAAGTACTGATTTCCGACAAGATCTTCACTTGGCAAAATTCTGGAAAATAAAATAACAGATACTGACAAAAACCAGTGTAAACTTGCATAGCTTTTTTTTAGTTTTATAACTACAAATTTGTATTTTTAAATATGGAAAATAAAGTAAAATTCGTAGAACTTTATATATATATATATATACAATATATATATATACAATATATATATACAATATATATATATATACAATATATATATATATATATATATATATATATATATATTTATTTATTTATTTACAATATTCTATAAATTCTATCGAATGTTTGGCGTTAATATGTTTG